CCCGTTTCTTTCGTTTCCCTTTTCTCTTTTTTCTTCTTTTCTTTCTTTTCTTTCTTGTCTTTCTTTTCTTTCTTTTCTTTCTTTTCCTTTCTTTCCTCTCCTCCCACTTTTTCTTTCTTCTCTTTCCTTTCTTTTCCTTTCTTTCCTTTCTTTTCCTCTCTTTCTTTTCTTTTCCTTTTCTTTTTTGATTTTTTGATTTTTCTTCTTTTCTTTCCCTTTCCCTCTCTTTTTTCCCGACGGCAGCGCAATTTTACAGACAATATCCTGACAGGTGGGGGTGTCGCACCCCCACACTCTTCCCCCTGGTGGGGCGTGGAAATTAGGGGCTGCGGCCCTCAAAACCAGGCCCGCAGTGACCTCTACATCAACAAAAATTAAGATAAAGAACAAGGCGTGTATATCATCAATGCGATCTGTACATAGAGATTATATTATAGAGTAGTATATAGCTCTATGGATCTGTATCATCTTTTAAGTATTGATTTTGTAGTGGTCGCCCTCTTCGTCAATATTATTATAGGAGTAGTTAGCTCGCATTTTAAGTGACATATTTATTTACATATGGGACTGAGTGCTGAATTTGCAACAGCATCTTGAAAAGGCATTTGTTGAAATTAGATTTAATACGAAATATTTATGATATCATGGATCTTTCAAAGACTCATTTCCACATAGAATGATAACCGACTACTGAAATTTAACGTGAAAGGAAGATACTTAGTTTAATATTGTTCTTATAGTTAAACCTTCTCAGATGTACAACAAGCCCGGTTAGCTCAGTCGGTAGAGCATGGGACTCTTAATCCCAGGGTCGTGGGTTCGAGCCCCACATTGGGCGACCTTCTTTTTAATTTTTTTTCTCCATCTTAAAGATATAATTTTTGTAAAATATATGCGTTTTTAATGTTCACTACATAATTTAGTACCCCACTCCTATTTTACCCACCGGGCAAACATTTTTTCTCTATTATGCTATTTACATTTTGCATGCACTTTTAAACATTTTGTTATATAATTCAGTACCCCCCCCCCCCCCCCCCCCCCCCCCCCCCCCCCCACCAATATTTATCCTATTCTTCCTTCCACATGATATCCTTGATCCCAAAGGCAGATCTGCATGCACCCCCAAACAATCTTTCATAGAGACATATCACACCATTTCCAACAAAGATCAAACAACTCACAAGAAAATGTCTCACTTCATTCGCTCAAGTTTGTACCAATTAAACTGCTCACAAACTTCAGAATCTAATTGCAATATAGCTAATGGTTTCATATCTTTGACAAATTTCCTAACTTTTTGTTTACATGGCTTATTTCTTTAGGGACATGTGAAATGAATTAGTTTTTTTTTTTTAATCATTAAATTTGTATTACAAAACTAAGAAAGGGCTGCTCAAAAGGAAAACTATACAGTTGCCAGTTTAGGTTTTTATGAAACCAACAACATTACTAATTTCCCCCAACTGTGTCACTAAAGAGTTACACTATCTTTGTGCTGTGTAGACCTGTTCTGATTCCATGACATTTGCTCCGGCGACAATTGCTCCGCTGTAAATTTCATACACTAATCGAATGGCTAATTTCAACCTGGATTCAACACTATACCCTACCCTAAACCTAACCCTAAACCTAACATAAAACCCTATTGAAACCCTAACCCTACATCTTAGACGAAATAAAGCCCGGAGCAATTGTCACAGGAGCAAATGTCGTGTCACCCCTGTTCTTCAACGATAATACAGTGTGGACCACGATCACAGATTTGGTTTATAACAATGCGTTTTCCTAGTATCACAAAGTCAGCTCTAGTTTGAAATAATCACTTTACATGCAACAATCAAGCAAAACTGAACCATTCTGATGTCTCTAAATGAAAATGAATATCATCCCTTCCAAACAGCCCCTCTCTTGGCAACTCTTCCTCCACACACACACACACACAAATTTTTTCCCTATCTTTTATTTTTATTAGAGATTTCATTCAAAATAAATCATTACATAAAAAATCAATGTAAATAATTCCATACAAATCTTCATTTCGTTTTCATAACACAAGTAAATTAATTATTCACGAAACAGTGAGCAAAGGAGAATAATGGAATGAAATCACATTACACACACACACACACACACAATTATTATCAGCCCCCCCCCCTTGACCCCATGTATTTTGCAATAAAAATGTGCAGTTGCCATTGGTATGTTAAGAATAATAATGTCAATAATATCTTCATGCAAAACATAACCACATGAGACAAGAATGAATTTATCATTGTTTAATTTGTAACAGCCATGAAGCAATTTATTTTCAAATACTTAAAGAGCAAGGATACATTGACAAGACTGGTTTACATAAACAGGAATACAAATTTTCTCCTCGACTATTCATCATTCCCCTCTCCATAGACTAACATGTGTTTAGATGGTAACAAAAAAGTTCAATATATATATAGCAACAATTTATTCCAATAATCATACTTGTACCAATGCAATATATTTTCCTTTTTTAAACACATGTTAACGAGAAAAGCAGATACACACTCTATGATTGGACACACAAAACATGTAATTAAACGAAAATTGATAATTTTATGTATTGGTATGTGAAGCAATGAAAGAAGAAAGATATCAAAACAGAATCTTGGCTCATAGATCTCACAGACAACTCAACATCTCCTTCACAGCACTTATGCCAAAACAATTGCATCTTTAAACATTTGAATCAGAATTGCTTCAATCAAAATTTACAGTATAAATATAATATTGTAATTTCTCATACAAAAAGAAAAATGTGGAGTGTGGAAATTATTAAAGTACAGAGGAAAACCATATCATTTTGTGTCCTATTGAAGACCTTAGGAAGGAATTTGACATCATGAAAAAAAAGAAACAAGGGTCTACATTTACATTTGTTTTTTAATTTTGTTTGCAGAAGAATTATCACTAATTCCAGAAGGGATACTTTCCATATTTGGAATATAATTGTTTTTCCCCATACATACCAAGTGGGAGGAAGGTGTTACTAAAACAACTGATGCATATTGTTAGAACACAAGCAATTGTACTTTTTTTCCTCCCTTTTCTGGCAAACTTGGTTTGTACATGTACATAGTATAAAAGGTTCTTTCGTATTTCAAAATGTACAATGTGTTAAATGAGGACCTGCATACAGTACACTGGTATTACAACATGTAGTTCTTGCAACGCCCAGAAATATGAAGTTTATGAGAAGAAAAACTCTAGTAATATTCTTTGGTGGTTGTTGCTCCTATCAAAATGGTTAATGTACCATACAATTGCAAATAACTGCATTAAGTATTGTTTAAATATTAAAATGCTCATCATTTTGTTTTTACAAGTTGAGTGAGATTTGGGTTGGTTTGCAAGCTATCCTGAATGTCACTCAGTGATATAGTGAGACAAGTCTCAATCTGTGCTGAGACCTCTTCACTAGATAAATATAACCAACAGTTTTCCTTTTTGTCTATGTTTCAAACCCTAAAATTTAAGACTTGTGAAGTCAGAACAGTGAGCAGCACATACTTGTTCTTGAGCAGCATTATCCGACACAGAATCGATGCAGATATGTACAGAATATGTACAATACAGTGTAGATGATAAGACCAGTTTCTATGTGTTGTCCATTAAATGACATATATACCTGATGCAACTAAGAGATGATAAATTACAGATACCTTATCTTGATTTTGGTATATCTTTGTCAGGACCATCCTATTCCAATTATTTCTTTTTTTTATACAATAATGACTTGTTATAATGCACTTCTGAGGTATGACAAGTTTGGAAAAAAAATCCACACCCAAATGTTGCTCACATTTACACCTATGATGTACTCATCAGTCACACAAATGACGCACAGATTCAAGCATTGCAAAATACAAATTATAACCCCTCCTTCAAAACATGGCATCACATTAATAAGCTGCCCAGTAGCCCTCAGAATTGAAAGTCGATTGCCCTTACCAGTACTCTTTTTCCTACTGAATGTAATTTTGTTTACATGAATCTACGATCAAATAACAGGATTTCTGGTGCCTGTAGAACATCAATAAACCCCCTCTGTAAAATTCACTCACCTGTCAACAGAACTTTATTCCATTAATGGGTTTAAAAGCTTGTATAAAAGGCCTATTCAATGAAGGTTTCAGCACCAACAAGAAAGCCCTGGGATGGTGACCTAAAAAGCATACTTTTCTGCGGAGGGAAACTGCAAATCTAGAACATACATGTACCTTACAGGCTTACAACATAATCATCATGCATCTCCTACAAGATGACATATACTTATTTTACTCTGTGCACGCTAGTCGTTTATCGAATAATTTTAGTAACGGTTTATACATACTGTAAATAAGGCCTAATAGTAATAAAAGCATTATGCACACTAATCCAATCATTCCAGTTCAAAAGAAATGATAATCAGATTATTATGTACATGTCATGTACAAATATTGTTTAGTCTTCCATCCAATCAACATAATGAATTTGTAAGATTTGTACATGGCCCGGCCAAGGTACTGCATTAAGAGAAAAACAATCATGGCAGTATATACAAAGACTCACAAACAGATCAAATCATCTAGTATTAATGAGAGGGAAAATAAAATAAATAAATGCCTATAATCACTCTAGTATTTGAAAATATTATACTCTGACAAAAAAAATAAAATAGATCGAACAAAGAAAATGAAGGGAAATAAACATAGAGCAGAAAAATAGCCCATTTTCACCACGTAGTCTGACACTTGAGTCTATGTAACACAAAGGCCGTTTATAAATTCACACGATCTATATCATTATGTTCACATTGGTTGCGATAGGAACCTTACAGAATCTACACCAGTTTGACTCTGGAAGTATTTTAAAGAATGCATAAATTGATCACAGTTTAAGAGCTGAATAGCTATCCAAGGTATAGTGGCCACATGCCAGTCTTCAAATCTAGTCCAACAACCACAAATATATCAACCCCCCCCCCCCCCTCCAAAGCATACAGCATGCTACATGTACATGTATAGTGCTTATAGGTATTACAAAGAGAAGTGCTGGCTGGCAAGTACGCCCTTATCTACGTTCTGAGAAAATTAAATTTTGACAAAGACGTATTATTTTCAGAAGCTGTTACAACCTGTAAATATGTGAAAGTTATACCCATCCCCCTTTCGGGAGACTTTCTGAATTCACTATTTCTAGGAAACCACCTAACTACTACAGCACTTACAAAAAGAACCATGAGTTAGTATTTCCTTGTAGAGAGAGTGAGAGAAAGTATTTTAGTATCCATATACAGCCAATTTGGATTTGATAAGACTTTACAGCCTACAGATTCCTATGGAATGCATTCACCTCTAATTACCACACAAATCATTCATCTTTTCTTCATGTAAAATATCTATTTTTCTTTAATATTTAACAGGTATTACAGCTACAATGCTCTGCAAATGATAAAGACCCTCTGGTGAGTATTTATTCAATTCCATCAAAATAGCAGGATATTCTTAAAATGCTATGTGCATAGTATGTTCTTGATAACATCTGTAATCAAACTCGGGACTGTCTCTCCTCATCCCATCATGACACATCTTTGTATAAGAATCAGAGCAATGTAGCTACAAGTTAATCTGCAGAGGCAAGACTTCCCGCCATTTCTCATCTTCTGTACAATAGATTTTATTTTATTTTTTCTCAACCAGCAGTACTGACAGACAAGTTTAGTTTCCTGCCATCCTTACCGCACAGCTTCACAGAATCTTTGTATTATACACACACACCAAAAAAAAATTTGTACAAAAGATAGAGGGTCGAATCTGCCACAATATTCCTACGACTCATATCTATCTCAACACAGTCGGCCAAAATAGAATAACTAAGAGAGATGGAGATAAAATTACATAATATTCTCGATATTTATTTTCCTTTCATTAATATTTTTTTTCTTTTTTCCTTTATAGTCTCCCTGTTTGTTAGTGTTGAGCCTGTAAGACGAGGAAGATTGGACCTTATGATTGACAGCATTTCCTCTTGTTAGGTTCAGTGTAGCCATGTGTGGGTGGAATGGTGATGGGCTTGACATCCGAGCTGGGCGAGTCCTCCCCGTTACCACCGTCTCGGATATTCTTCTGTGACACAATCTTGTAAATTTCTGCAAGTACAAGCAAAGAATATTGGGAGGGATTATTTTAAAGAACACATGATGGCTACTATTATGGATTTGGTACCAATTTCCGAGGAGAAATCAATCAGTTTCAAATAACCAACATATTTTAGAATGTCGATAGTGACCACATGTTTCATGAAAGCTAGCAACATGCAAGGTTGGATAATAACTGTATGAGTGACTTTCTCAATATGTAGAGTGTTACACAAGTGATAATATCCCTGATGTGACGGTATATAAAATTGGACAAAAGCAATGAATACAGACATAAGAAATTAACCGGAAGCTAGAGGAACAAAGAACGAAGCTATGTTATTAATATTCTAAAGTAAATAACATTTTTTTAAAGCAGGAGTTGACAAGAATGACAAAGCCAAAGGAAAAGAATGAGAAAGAAATAAAGAGGAAATTCGAAGAAGGAAAATAAAATGTATTAAGACTAACCTGTCAGAATTTGAACAAAGGCCTGTTCTACATTTGTTGAATCCAAGGCTGAGGTTTCTATGAAGGATAGAGTATTTCTTTCTGCAATGAAAATAGTTATGTAAATTAGGAGAACAAATTACTTTTGTGTGTGTGTACAATTTTTTTTTTTTAATTCATTCATTCCTAAAATGCTGATACACAATACACATGTACATGTACTAAACAGGGGCACACTTGCTGGCTCCATTCACTGTATGACATGTACATACAGTGTGCATACTAAACTTGTCATGCCATAACATTGTATTTACCCTAATACTACAGTGCAATACAATAAAGTACATTCAAAATGAAAATCCTAAAAAATGGTAGCAAGATTGAAAACTGCAATTTCAAAGAAATTATTCCTGTAGTTACAAAAAATGTGAACTAAATCTTATTTGCAATACAGTACATGAATGAAGATCTCATTCAATTTAAAAATGAAAGTATTTTTTTTCCCTCCACATTCAGGATTAAACACTGATGATTTTTCTTGATTTTTTGTAGATATTTTTCTCTTATATTCTAGACTTAATTGTTAAAAGAAATTCAGATTACTTTCACAGCATTTTTTTTTTTTTTTTTTAAATTTTATAATAAAGTTACATTTGAAACAACACCAGCCCCCCCAACAAAAACCCTGAAACATTATGACTTGCTGAAGCCTCTACCCATTGGTGACCTTAGCACTCAATTACTTTTGGTATTTTAATACTGAATATTACTAATATCAGTACAAATTAACTATTTATGCTATTTACTGAATACGATTAAAATCAATAACAATAAACTATTTTACTTTTATCATCTCTTCAAGGTATATTATTGATTTATTGCCGCATCACACAGAACAGTTTAGCCCATGCAGGACATAGAAACACACCAAACAAGTGACAAATTGGCTTGTGAATTGTGTAGCCTACACTAAATTTCAGAGTATCAATAGACAATAGGCAGTTAGGCATGCAGCTAAGGGATTCCCTTGTTATGAGTAATGCCATTACTGGGTTATTCCAAACAGTATAGTATTAATGACTGCTTTGAGAGAAATAGTTGTTTTATTACGCTCAAGGGAAGGTTAGAATTGTGCTATTCCCCGAGGCTTGCCGAGGGGAATAGCCCAATTGTAACCTTCCCGAGAGCGTATGAAAACAACTATTTCTCGAATATTAAAGCAGTCATTAATACTTTTATATGCCGAAAAAAAATAGACTAAAAAATAAAAAATAAAAAATAATTTACATTTTTGTCGAAGACGGGATTCGAACTCTTGCGTACAACAAGAGGTGTATCGAAAACCAACGCTTAGACCACTCGGCTATCGCGCGCCGTTAACATGCTTGGCAGTTTTCTCCAATATATACATTAAAATGGATTGAAAACGGCTCCGCGTGAGGGATGCTTCGCAAAAGCTCCATGAAACGGACCCTTCTTTTACTTTTGCAATGCATATTGGCACGAACTTAGATCAAGATCTATCGGCAGATGTTGTTTTTTTGTTTTTGAGAGTTAATTTTCGTCTTCATGTCAACAATGCAAGATAAAATTGTCGGTAAGATCGATCGAGATTCAATTGTATTGAAATTGCCGACCAATTTTTCGCACACGTATGGTATCCTCCATCGCTCAAACCATTTTTTAACATGTAAACCTATGGGGTAACCATGGAGACTGACCTATTTTTTTTAATAACCATGGTTATTAAAAATATTGAAATGTTTTAAGCATGGTTACCGGGAATTTTACAGGAACAGTTGAAGTTTATGAATGCAATTCGACCAATCAGATGGCTGGATTTCTTAAGTGAGGTATATAATAATTACTAATAACCCAAGTATTTGTATGAGTGTTTCCCGTTTTCTAAGCAGTGACACACACAAACATCAGGATCAGGGTGACTATCAAGGTTAGGTAGAGTATTGATGTGCATGTGGTTTTCTTTGGGATGTGGCCAGACACAATAAATACCAACTGCAGTAATAGTCCAAATCGTGCCAATGAGTCAGAACAAAAAAACATATGAGCAAATTTACTATACATTATGGGCAATGAATTCATATCCACCTCAAAATGCAAAAGGTGTAAGTGGGAAACAATGAGGCATACAAAGGAAGGTGTATTATATTTGTGGTATAAACTGTAGTCTCTGTCTGCTTCCTTTCCAATTCTATTCAACTATTCATGAACTATATGTACTTAATGTGTACCATTAACCTTTCTTTGTTGTTATTACGTTGTGTGAAAATATCTCCATACTGAACTACTGTTGTAACTTTACAAATACAACTGCTTTAATAAATGGGTGCCATGATCATTTGGTATGTGGCAGCCATCTTTAAAAGCAAGATTGGATATCAACAGTAAGGGACCCCTCCTCTATTTAAATAAACCAACATGAACTGGTGTAGAATCTCTTTTCATCCCTATTAAAAGGCATAAATACAGTGCAGAACACATTTTGTTTCCATCTTACCTGCAAAGACTTTGGATTCATCTGTTGGTACTGCCCTCAAATGCCTCAGATCACTCTTGTTGCCGACTAACATTATAACAATATTATTATCTGCATGGTCTCTTAGCTCTTTGAGCCATCGTTCTACATTCTCGTATGTTAGATGCTTTGCAATGTCGTATACAAGCAATGCTCCTACTGCCCCTCTGTAATATCTGGAGGGAAATGGTGAAAACAAGAGAAGAAATATTAGTTTTACAATGACCAAAATAAATAAAATACTAATATTCAAATGTGCAGATGATTCTATAGTATGGAAGAAGAGGTTTTCCCTAAAGTCTCTTCAGCAAATTTAAACCATAACATTTGAATGCATAATTTAAGCCCACAATATATGGAATATTACATTGTTAATTTGCTTGTTTTGGCTTTGGACTTTTTAATTTTACATTTATTCAGTTACATGTACCATTAAAAGCTATTCAATATGACAACATATATGTACAGTACAGTGAAGAAACACATCCTAAATGTACATGATGTATCATTTAAGAGTGTTCTTCGATACAATACTATAATTATAAACAGTCTTAAAATGTTGTCAAGTACAATGTACATGAAGATAAGGCTTAGTGGCATGTAAGTCAGTCTGCATGTATACATGTACACGTATCTCTAATAAACATGTCCTATCTTGAAGTAGAAGTCCATGTACACAGTAGATATTGAATATCTTCATGGGCGGAAATAATTCATTTTCAAATTTAATACATACATTCGTAGCCATGTACTGTACATGTTATGATTGTACCAACTGGCAACTACATACATGTACATGTACATGTACCACATAAAATGAGAGCTCATTCAGGTACATGGACACATGCATAACATAAAGAGAAACATGTAGACCATGTATATGTTAAATAAACAACTACACATTTCATATCCTTGACTCATTGTGTCAACAATGCAACCAGTATATACTGTACATGGGATTGGGGAGTGAGAGAAATTTGCCCCTGGCCCTGGGTATCAATCTTGATTGGCAACTATATACATGTATTCATGAGAAATATTTCACTTCTAAAAGAGAACAGGGGGAAAAAAGGGGGGGGGGGTGGATTCTGTCATTGGGTTGCATTGCCGATATCTCTGAACACAACAGTATAATCAACAATGCAATGGCAAAGAACGTCATTGCAATTAACCCTAGAGAAGAAAATTTGAATGTTTTATTTCACTTAAGTGTTTTGAAGAGTAATGACATCATGATCAAATTCCTGCATGCATTGCATATAATTTTGTGATGTATTATGTACACAAGGTAGGTTGGGCATTATGCATGTCCCCCTTGCAAACATGAGCACAGTCTTGTTGTGTACATGTCCATTTGTGCTGTGCATTACACACTTGTACATGTAGCTCTGCGGGAAATAAACATGACATGACACACAATGTTCAACGCCACTCAGACAATGGACATGGATACGGTACTTCCTTATAGCTGGTACATGTACAAGTGGTACCGGTACATGTATTGCATAATGATAATCTATGAACTATCAAGAATATCATAAAGCTCAAGTACTAACATGTAATTATAATTTTATGCTTTATTTAAAGATAAACTTGAGTTCTGGTAAATATAGAAGATCAATTCTCACATAATCCAAAGAAACTTAAACTGAATGTTCAAGATTACAAATAAATGACATGTGCCAAACACTTTTGGTAGAAAATGTATAGTGGGTGAGTAATGAGCATAGAAAGATAAGTGAATTCGCGTAAAGTACACCCAACACCATGTCCTCAACACAGGTCACTACAGTGTACATGTTGTGCAAATGGGAGTTGTGGTTTTTATGGAAGATGATGCCCAGTAAATTTGTTTGCGTTTTTTTTTCATTTCACTGGTTCACATGCAACCAATCTACATGTACTACAGGATAAACAATCCAGAATAAATCATAGCAATGTTCTCTCAAGATACGATTCCCATACCAGAGCTCAAGATTAGCTGTAATTTAGAATTCAGTTCAGAATTTGAAAGCTATGCCATAGACTAGCTACCATAGACATGCACAATGCATTTTACACAGCAAAAGTAAATGGACTAATTGATGTACCCTTTTGCACATAATAATTGTAGAATGAAATATTCATTTTGTTCAACTACTGTACTGTACATAACATGCAACTAAACAGTGAGTGAAATTGCAGGTAATAAACAGTATGTTCATGTCGAAATTCAAACATGTACTAGTTTTACCTGTTGTACATGTAACTTGTATGGATCAATAACAAGTTACAATTATTAAGTCCAACTACACTGTACACTGCATTGTTTACATATGACCGGTAGAAGGAATTTATATGAGTCACTAAATTGAATTTGTTTCAATTTACATTACTGGTACTAACAAAAGAGCCAACAGTATTATGGATATTCAAATATTGTGGTAAGTCATGTTTACATGTAAATCTCATTGTTTGCCTTCCAAATTATATTTTAATTCATAGTCAGTCTTTGATTCTGAGTGTCTCCAGTGATGATGAACTATACATGTATGTATGAAACATACAAATATGTACATGTAATACTGTACATGATTACAATTATCTACATGTATGTGAGTACAGTGTACATGTACAAGTCAATAATTTGAGTTGATAATTTACAGAAAGATCTGTATTCTTACTAATTTCTTTCAACTTTTTGCTTATTAGATATACATGTACATGTACAATGTAAGCAATGTATGAATGTACTCCCTAAAACATAAACATAAACGGTATAGATTTGACCGTGTTCGGGAAGGGAGGGGGGACTTGTAGAGTTTGGGAAGGTTTGGGAATGGAGGGGGGAGGGGTAAGATACATGTAGTAGAGCGTGTGTGGTGTGTCTGTCTGTGCGTAAGGCTTTGATCTCATTCAGTATCATTAATTTGAAGACATTATGTACTGTGTAATATACTATATTACCGGTATGTATTTCTAAGGGATGTACAATTTTCTTTACATTTTGACATGTTATGTAAATCAATGAAGATGTACAATTTCTTTATTTTGTACTGATTGAATGCCGTTTATGAATGCAATAAAGAATACTACAAAACAAAAAAATAAAAATACCAGTTTCTTTTGATTTGCTGTTTGCAGTTACATCACTTACATGTTTTATGTAATACAAGGTTTACATGTACATATATTTCTTGGTGCACCTTGTCATACATTGAACATACTGGTATATCCTTTCCTTCGATAAGAGTTGTTAGTGTTGTAAGATGTACATGTTTGCAAGAGGACACTTTAAATCAGGGTTATCTGATTTCTATACAGCTGGACAAAATTGTTTTCTACATTAAATACACCATTTTCCTGTAAGAAAAGCATTTTGAAATTTTGAAATTCTGAGATTTGTCATAATGAATAGAATCAATCTGATGAACTTTAAAGAGAAGGTTGAGTTCTGGGAAGAGGTGAACGATAATTTGTGAGCGTTATCATAGTATTATGCAAGTGTGGAAGAACATCGCATACAAAATGTTCCCTGAAAAGCATGGCTCTTCAAATGCCTCAATATTCTAAATATGGCATGTACAAATGTAACATCAAGATCGGGACAGATTTTTATGCCACATGTTCATGTAGTCCCATATATTTTGGGTGTACAGTGCTTGTAACTTACCGAGATTGGGCCAAATTTCTTATCATTTTGATGATTCTAGAACCTTGCATTACACACCAATACTTGTATGCTACATGTAGATGATCAAACTTTTCTGATCGATTCCACAACATTTCTTTCACAATGCAATCGCATGACCAGAACTCAACTTTATCTTTAATTTCAGAGAAAATTCATCTCTGACACAAATTTTGTAATGGAATGAATCAGCTGAAACACAAGAAATTAAGAAACTATAATTTATGATCGATCTTAGAAATTACACAAATCCTAAGAATCTATGCTAAACATGCAAATGCTATGAAAGGATTGTACCTGACATACATGTGTATGCAGAACACAGTTCTCTTAAACCATTATTACTCGACCTTTTACTGACAGTACATGTAAATGGTCGAATCAACACCAAAGTTAAATCCATCTCATGGTTTATGTACAGTAGTATGGTGTTACAAATTTTCAATTCTTCAGTTTACACATTGTCCACCAACCACCATGCATACATGTATTTTTTAAGATGAGGATTGGTTACATCTCTGCCAGGCACACGTCTAAAATTTCATAGCCATTTCACAGATTGCGTAATATGATGCAAAAATATACACTTCAAACCTCTTCCATGCATACAGAGTATCAATATCAGTGACAAGATGAGGAATGGCCAGTAATCAATCACTCTCACATGACCAGTATTGTCTTCATTTTGGATCTATATTTCAGATATCTGCATAAAATATTTGCAGTCTAGCTCGAGAATTGATCCAGGCAAATGGAGGCCATCATACATTCAGTACTCTCTAGTATATGTTCCACTCTTCCGCCATGCACACTGCTTGATCAAGCTATTACAAAGTATTGGTGCTGCATTTACCCAGTAGAAGGTTAGAGGGAGGGTGGGGGGCACAATTAGCTCATGCCCCCTCTTTACAAAATCTGGATCGACCCCCAGATAACCTCCTGATATTATTTCCAATTAACTCATTTTATCATTTTATCATTTTAAGGCCACATGCCAACTACTTCATGGGAGCATGAACTGAAGCCAGAGGGAAGGGGTAGGCCCGCCCTCCCCCCCCCCCCCACTCAGTGTTATTTAGGGTACGCATATATATATATATGCATATTCCCTCCTTTTGAAAACACCCCCCTAAGTCCGGTGTGTAAAGTCAATACGGGCCAGAATTTTGTCTACGAGCCAGACTTTGGTGTGTGAAAAGTACCCCTTTACTGAACATTTTGGTAACACGCATGGTATCCCTCTGTTCACGAAGTGGGGGGGGGGGGGGGGGGGAGGGTAGGGGGTCCCAACTTAACATTTTTAAAGTCTGTACGTCAGAGTCCAATGCACAAATTTTGACATTTTAGGTGTCCACAGACTCCAGATTTTGAACACCCATGTGTACCAGGCTCCTGTCTGTTAGTGTTGAGCCATGGTTTTAATTTTAAAGGCCAAAACAAAAATTGTAGGTGCAACAAAGGTGATCATTAGTGAGGGCAATCACCTCCAAGAATGTCAAATTACACTGTAGCAGCCAAACATTTAAAGTAGCCCAGGCCGCCAGGGTCATCTTGGTAAGACCTCTACAGTCATACCATTGCCATCAGGTGCTAGTTTACTAAGGCTGAACAAGCAGCCTGTGAATCTCATTTGAATTGATAATATTCACATTCTCTTGATTTCTTGAACATCAATTATATTTGGCTGTCAATTACAAATATTACAGCAGGAACTGAATTAATCAAGCCATTCTCAATTCCATATTACCACATTCTAAAATTTAAAGAACTCTTGATAAATCAAGTCCACATGGGATTAGGATAAGATCTTTATGCACAATTCAGATATATCAATAAAATTATAGTTTCACATGTGACAAATTCCATGTACATTGTACTGCAACAAATGGAACCACTTGTTCAGTATATATATGCATGTACTCACTGTGAGCAAAGTCTATGGAAAGAAGACGCCAATACAATGAGTCAAAATTAACCACTTCTGTGCTGGGTGAATGGGTGGAATTCTATGATTAGATCATACCTAAACTCAACATTTCCCATTAAAGATACATCGATTAGGGTCAAATCCGGTCAAACCTAGTCTCAAATTCATTGAACACTATGAAGGTGCTTAGCCCAACAACATGGAACAGACTAATTGACTGTCTGCACAATGGCTCTTATTACTTTACTACTTCATACAGGTTTACAATACTGAGCTCTCTCCCATATCGATTTTGTTTATGTGTTAAAGAATTTGGCAGTGCAAGACTAAGACCCGAAATACGGTACATCACATACTACATGTACATCATTGCTGTACCTCAGTTTAGCCAAATACATGTACACATCATGTCAAAGGGGTCCAACTCCCCTCACGTTTATGAAGTCCATTTTAGTGCTCAGAGAAGTCCAGTGGTGGTATTCTGAGCATGATTTATCTCTAAAATATTTTCTTTTATCATCTTTAAAAAAAATGGTATTCTGAGACCACTTTTTATCTATCACATCACAAATGGGCATGACTAAGTGAGATAAAATGATTCTCAGATTACTAATTTAAGAGAGGTTCTACGGGCATTTTATCCAAGAGAGTTTATATGGGATTCTTTATTTATAAGATAACTTAAATCTCGGTATAAAATCCTTGTTTTGTGTCATGAAACTGGCTTCTGAGGGACATGTGTAACTTTTGGGTATCAACAAAAACTATCCTGAAAAAATACAAATATAATAAAGAGATCTATTCATACATGTACATGTAAATTATGAAAAATGATATTCAAGATATTTTGTGTATTGGAACAAATGGGACAGTTATCTGCTACTGCTTCAGTGATATATATTGTAGATTCAGAAACTCCCATATAGAGTAATGACAACTTCTACAAAGCTCATGGCTTTCTTGTTGCTAACTAGTCCAATATGTTAGAGTTTTCCCCTGATATTTCTGCATTCCCTTAGAGCAACGTTTGAATTTTCTCTTTTTAAAAGGGAAGTTCACCATAATAGGAAAGTCCTAACCCTGTAAACGATCATCGGAGAATAATTTTTGATCGCCGATCAATTAAAATGATCGGAAAAAAATCGCCAGAATTTTTTTTTTTTTTTTTTAATTGACAAAAATTTTCAAGTTTTTGGCTATCAAATGCTCAAACAAAATTCATGGCTGGGATTATTTTGTCGTTTGGAGTTGTTGTAGACCATGTTTGTTGATATTTAGTGCCTTTTCATGACTTTTAAAATAATAATATTGGTCTAAGAGCAAAGGCAAAACATGCGGGCCACCATCTTGGATTATAATGTAGGTATATTTTTTTTTAATGACGAAAACTTTCAAGTTTTTGGCTATCAAATGATCAAAAAAAATTCTTGGCTGGGATTATTTTGTCATTTGGAGTTGTTGTAGACCATGTTTGTTGATATTTAGTGCCGTTTCATGACTTTTAAAATAATAATATTGGTCTAAGAGCAGAGGCAAAACATGCGGGCCACCATCTTGGATTATAATGTAGGTATATTTTTTTTTAATGACGAAAACTTTCAAGTTTTTGGCTATCAAATGATCAAAAAAAATTCTTGGCTGGGATTATTTTGTCATTTGGAGTTGTTGTAGACCATGTTTGTTGATATTTAGTGCCTTTTCATGACTTTGAAATTCATAATATTGGTCTAAGAGCTGAGGCAAAACATGCGGGCCGCCAGCTTGGATTATTATGCATACCTACATTATCAAAGTCATGAAAAGGCACTAAATATCAACAAACGTGGTCTACAACAACTCCAAATGACAAAATAATCCCAGCCATGAATTTTTTTTGAGCACTTGATAGCCAAAACTAGGAAATTTTCGTGTTAAAAAAAAAAAATTGGCTGATTTTTTTTGTTGATCTTCCGATCCGATACCAATCAAAGGTGCGAGGGTGTCGCTCCGATCTTCCGATCCGATCAGAGCCCCAACTTACAGGGTTAGAAAGTCCCTACTGATATTAACTTGGTTTTCAAAAAAGTAAAAGTTACAATTTCAGAACAGAGCAAATGGGAGGAGACCTCAACAGAAATGTCATAGAGTTAGTTGCCAATTTATGTTGCATTCTTTAATTCTTTTTACCGGGTATTGGAATTTGCTCAAACTTTTGCTAATCAGTTTCTCTTATTTTTCTGCTTTTAATAAAACCAACTTTATATATGGGATGATTTCCCTACGAGTTGAAGATGAAGACATCATCCAATGTCACATACATATATTTCTCTCTCTGATCATTAGTTTTGTAATCCTAGATACTTACGCACTAGTGATTGCCCTATATCTTTCTTGACCTGCTGTGTCCCATATCTGTGCTTTTATCGTCTTGTTGTCCACTTGTATGCTTCTCGTGGCAAATTCCACACCAATTGTGCTTTTGCTTTCTAAGTTGAACTCATTCCTTGTGAATCTTGATAGCAGGTTACTTTTGCCCACACCAGAGTCTCCAATGAGAACAACTGCATCATAGGGGGGAAAAAAGGAATATTCTCAAGTTCATGACATGGACACTAACAAAATTTTACAAATGAGACTCGTTTATATCTTTGGTTAATATGCTCTTTCTCCTGATTAACATGTAAAAGCTAGTTATATAGAATTTATAGATATAAGTCAATGGTCATAAGTCATAACATGATATTATTAGTAGCAATCATGCTTACTGAATTTGCCTTGCATATCATGATATGGTGAAACAGACAAAAGCTTGAGTTTAAAGCACATCAACATTTGCTCTCATTATATTGTCAAACATGCAATGCGAAAGTGGCAAGCACGATCATGCAATAATCTATCCTCTTACTTACACTGCATGATTGTGTATTTAATCAGTAGGGCGCTGGTCCCAGAATGAGGATCGGCCGCATAAATGAAGTCCTCATACATGTAAACGTGGACAAATTGCGTCCTAAAAAACAAAGATCGTCCGGGTTCCCGATCCGCGTGCTGGCAATGCGATATAAAATAACCCCAGTTCACCGTCTACTTTTATGGGTTGCCCGTCTTCCCGAGGATTTATCGCTCATTAACGTCAAAGTGTCTATAAAAAGTCGATGTTAAAGGTAAAGACCAGTTATGGTCATGCGATTGCATTGTGAAAGAAACGTTGTGGAATCGATCAGAAAAGGTTGATCATCTAGCATCTAGCATCTGCAAGGTTCTGGAATCTTCAAAATGATAAGAAATTTGGCCCATTCTTCGTAAAGTTACAAGCACTATACACAGAAAGATGTATATGGGACTACCCTATATCTCTCACAGACCATGAGAGAAACAAATTTACCAAATATATGAATTAGTAGGCGGTTTCCCGGCAAATTTTTTATCATCATGTATTAGTCAAAACATATTCTTTCACATGATTGGTAATGAGAGCTTCCATTTCATTTTTTGAAATTGGGGCGTTTCCAATACTGGTCTTTACCTTTAAATGCATCAAGCAAATCATCGCGTAATCAGTTTTTCTCATTGCCAACGCGCGGATCTGGAAACCAGAATCAATCAAGGCGAACGATCCTTATTTTTGCGGACACGTCTGTCATCCATTAAGAAGAGGATCCTTGTTTATGCGGACGATCCTTTAATAATATTCTCGGACCAACGCCCCAAGAGAAAGTGACTTCTTTCTAGTCTACAGAAAGGGTCATCTTGTGATAGAAATCAAATAATCGACTGCTTATTTAGTGTAGATGCAATTACGCACACTTGCACGTTACGTCTATATGAATATGGACGTGTAAAAAGAGTCACCGTAACAATATTTAAATTGGTTTTTGCATGCAAGGAATTCTTCCTTGCAAGCCTGCCAAAATAATTTTCATTTTAATTTTATTGAAAATTTAATTTTCGTAGAAATCATAGGGCAGTATGAATCCAGGGCATATTACACTTAATCTGTCTAGGCCTATTGGTTTCTAATTGCATACACTGGTCTAACTTACAAATGTACAAAGTTGACATTCTCATTTGACATACAAAAAGGAACGGCAACGTACATGACTGAATGCCAATTCACTGCACCGGTAGTGCGGTGCACTGTGTACAATGGAAACCGTACCGGCAATCAATTGTCCATGGCTCGCATTGTAAAGCTACGCTGTGTACACGGCTCACCAAGGGCTAGAAAAGATGTGTACGTATAAAACCATCCTGTATGCGACATAAGAATGTATCACGAGAGTACTCTAGACTGCTAGAAAGCTGTAAAATTTTACTTTAAATAAGGGTATAACAATGTTTTAAAAACTCACCTTTGAATAAATAATCGTACTCATCATCTTTCGTACCCATCTTGTTTCGCTGTGTGTGTTTTCTTCAACCTGTTCGGTTACGCCCCTGAGAAGTGACTTCCGGATATGTCACCGGTAGGGATTCCCAAATAAACATATAATGATTGGCACTAATCTGAGAAATAAAAATTAAATCGTTCGAATTTGGGCTTCAATTAGAATATCAGAATAATTTGGGAAGGTAAAATTCACCGATGTTGCTAGATTTGGACGATTTCACTCAGGTCTTTGAGATAAACATTGATCTTCGAAATCGGTACAATGGCGGCTTCTAACGCCTACAGTGATGTGACGTCACTCGTGTGAGTGCACATATCGTAGTTATTGGTAATACATTTTTGGGCAACTCCCAAATCATAACACTTTAAAGATTACGAAACTTGAGTTGACCAGGTGGCAAAAATTACAAAGGCACATTATGACACATTTTCACTTTGTCAAGGATGATATGAATCATTTTGTTTTTACGTGTCATACAATGGAATGAGAAATAATAGTATATGTTTAGGCCCGCGGCGGGCGATATATCATTCATTGTTCTCGATCGAGGTCCATCTCAATTTGATTTGTTAAATTACCGTGCGGTGAATTCAAATCAATTCGACGAAGATTTTCCGGTGTAAAAGCGTATTTGATATTTCGACAAATCTATCACTAAATGCTCAATCATAGGTCAATATCCTGGCCAATGATGATATGATCAGTGACGATCAGAGGGGATCAGATACATTATGATAACATCAATGAAATGATGATGATGATGATAAGAGATAAGAGATGGTAAGAGGACATTTTATATATTTTTTTTGGTCATGAAATTTTTTAATTTGACATTTTGCTCCGTTGGGGGGGGGGGGGGGGGGGAGTTAATCTTTTCAGGTCAGCCATTGGCATATTTTTTATTTTATTTTTTTTAATAATTTTTTTTATAATTTTGTTTTGGCCGGGGGGGGGCACGCCCCTGTTTTTCAGTACATTTTGGGCGAATTTAGGGCTGATTTTAACATATTTTTTTGGCCGGGGGGGGGGGGCACGTGCCCTCTATGCCCCCCCCCCCCCCCCTGGATCCGCCACTGGATGACTTAGTGGCCATCACAATAAATTTAGGCTCAGCTCAAAATGTTTGATATCACCTTTACGACCCCCCCCCCCCCCGGCCCCCCCAATAAAAAAACACAACAACAAACATAGAAACAGACAAACAAAAATCCAGTACGATAAGTGATATAAAGTCACTGGAGAGGCTCGATAATGCAAAGAGTGGCGTGCTTTACTATGGACACGGGAGTTTCATCAATATTATTTGCCGTATTTTAATCGCTATTGGTCAAAATCTAGCTTAAAAACCAAATCACAATGCTGTTTCCGTGGTAAGAAATTCAAAATAATATATGAACTAAAAATTTACTCTGTTTCAGTCTTTTTTTTCTTCTTCAAACTGAAATCATTATCATCAAATAAAACAAAACACAAACAGAGTCATATCAAAAGAAAAACAGATTAATTGAAAACTTGTTCCTCATGTGCATTCATTATAATGTGCCAACCAAAATGTTGATAAAACTATCTTGATCATTATGACTTTGTATACTCACTATTCATATACATCACTGTTAGGATATCGTTATCATCATCAATTATGATAACATATTCAGGGACGGATCCAGGGTGGCACAGGGGGCACTACCCCCCCCCCCCCCCGAGCGAATTTGCGTCCAGCGCGATGTTCAAATTTTCGGGAGCAAAAAAAAAATGTACTCTTATCCCCCCGCCCCCCCCCCCCCCCCCCCGCTTATTCAGCGGCTGGCTGAGTCGTTTTTGGACCCAAAAAAATATATATATGTCCTCTCAACCCACGTGTGCTCACCCCCCCCCCCCCACCGGGACGAAATTCCTGGATCCGCCCCTGATATTTGAAAATAATACATTAATATGATAGCTATAACCAAAATGATCAAAGTCTATAAAACGTTACTGTTGTATTCCAAATTCCAATTAGGGCCTTTTAAAAAAAAAACTTAATCATAATTGCTGAACAAAGTCAATCCAGAACAATATACAAAAATGATCAGATGACGATGATAATAAAGATGGCTCCTTCTTCATAAAATTGGTATATCTAACCCTGTGTAAATATAAGCCCTCAGTGCTGGTATAGTGGGGCCTATACCGGCAATATTGCTGCAGTTTTTTTATCGCAGACTCGGGTAATTACAAGAGTAATCATTGTTTATTAGGTCATCGATAAAACATAGACCGACGTAACACGTTTTTGTTGATCTCCTTAGAAGAATATACACGAGGTCATCATTAGAAGATAATCTTGAAGGAACAAAGTCCACCATTACACTGATGAACTTTGGGATATTGGTTTGTATATGCACCGTGATAGGACTGCATTCGTTCTGCACCAACTTCGGCTCCAAACGGAGTTAATTAGGAACAACCGTCTTCATTTATTCCTTTTATTTGAAATGAATCAAAACTGAAAATGATATTGTCAAGAGATTCTGGATAGTGGCTTCAATAGGCGGACGAAGAAGTAAGTATGTTTTATCTGACGATTGTGGTTTGTTAGTGTTCTTGTTTCGAACTTTAAAGTTTTGATTAATGATAATATTATGCTTAGATCCTCTTTTAGACAGAAATTGCAAAATTAAACCCAATTCGTTGACCTAAATTGCATGCGATTGATTATGCGAGCAATTTGTATTTAGTAAAACTAATTTATTCTTATACTTGGAATGTACAAGTCATGTACGTATCCTGGCATAGCATGCCCATAATGTTGTGCACCTTAACTTTTTATATATATGTCTTGGTCGTTAAAGGTAATACAAAGTTTTGGGAAATTATGAAAATTGGGTGGATAGTGATTTTTTTAAATTTTGATATATTTGGATGTTCATGTGGATGTATTATAAGCACAAGGAAATTTAGCCCCTAAAACACTTCTGATTTCGAGAAAAATTGAATATAAAAATTTACCGGTGCTCCCGGTAAATTCTGATGAATTTAAAATAGCGCTTACTGCCGTACAATGGTAGCTGCGACCATGAAAATCTCAGAATATGTAGTTGTGATATATAATTTCCAAACGGGAATACCCATTCGGTCGGTTTTAGTCAAGAAACATTGTTTTATGGCTTAATTAATATTTTGACCTTGAGAGGGAGCTATATAACATAAAGAGCTTATTATTTACAATTTCATGACTTTAGACTCGATTTCAACCGCGACAACGATCATTGAATATTGTAGGATCGCATATGCTTCCAATATGTTCAATTGAACCACATTCATAACTCCATACCAAAACTTTGTATTACCTTTAACGAGTTTGTGGTGTACAAAATTATTAAGTGCTTTACGTGTTGTAACTAAATCTTAATTATAATCGACTGGACGATCGAGGTAACCTTAGGTATACACCGGCAAACATTACTCTGTTTGCTTACGTCTTACACAAAATTATCATAGCAACAAAATAAAAATTAGTTTTTATTTGTGCCAACGAAATCAACCGATCAATGTTAATCAAACACTTTAGGGGGCTGAAAAGACTATATGATTCATCAAATATTTTGTCCCAATTTCCCTCAATCTAAATGTTATATTACCATTACGATTAACCCCCCCCCCCCCCATAATCCCGTAAAGTTTAACTAAGGCAAAGGTGAAAAACTTGCACCAACTTCTCATCCATGCATAAAAATAACTTTTCTTCAGGCTAATTAAGGCGCAAATTATTTTATGCTATCATCCGAAAATAAATTTTACCTGCTGAAATTTCAAAATATTTTCTATGCATTTTAAGATCTATGTAAAAAGATTCGGAGACTGCACTTGAAGACTGAATGTGACTTGTTAAATGTACAGGCGTATAGTGTTATAGTCCAGTCGTCGAGGGACAAATTGGGGTCATGGGGGCATGGCTTTTACAGGTGGATAAAATACAAACAAGAATGTATAGACCAAGATTTGTATTTCTCTTTTCCCTCTGTTTTATTTTCCTTCAATATTTGTTTCTCTTTCGTCCTTTTTCCTATTATTTCTTATTTGCTGCTACCTCTATTTTGGCCAATAGTGGGGTGCTTCCTCCATTCCCTTTCAGCTATGTCATGATTTAATGATTATTATCGAAATATTGTTATGATAAGACCTGTGCATTGTTCAAGGATATTGTTTTGTCATTTTTCTTTTTAAAGATTTACCCGTATACGACGCGTTCAATTTATTCCACTTCATCTCAACTCATGCAGTTTTATAATTCTATTTTCTGCTTCTATAATTTTCCAAGAATAGATCCAAGAATATAAAGAGACTTAACGCGTTAAGTGGATACTTTGTCTCAGTCACGAGAGCTTCTACATCTGAAAACAAAACAATTCTCATTAAAAAAACAAGGAAATAAATTCGTCAATCTAATTTCATACTCTGACATTTCCACACGTCACCAAAGGCTGCAATGGAATAAGGATACAAAAACAGTTTCACCTGCAGAACTTTATACGACAACGATTGCGACATCAAGCACGATCAAGCAAGACCCTTTCTCGACGTGGAATCATGTCTGCTTTTGAATTTTGACGGCTGGCTTCTGTCCCTATCTTGAAAGATTGGCCTCACTTCTCACTGGATATTTTACAATTCCCAACTCGATATCACTGCTATTTGTACTTCTTAGAAGTGGACACATCATGAAGGCTCTGGAAGCTAAAGTCGTAATTTTGGGCAATGAAGGTAAGTTCAAACAAAATACAATGTACACTGTCGCTCATAAAGTTGGAATATTTGTGTTTTTCCCCAATTTATGGAATTATTTTTAAAATAATTTAAAAATAATAGATCTAGATAATAGTATACATTCTCAGATTTTTTTAATAATAATTTGCCAATGTGTGTTTTGCGTGACTGCTAAAGTATGTGTATGCTACTATGCTTATCAAATAGCCGGGTCCTACGCCCTTAAGTCATAAATGACATAAAGGGGATTAATGCCCCACAAAAGGGCACTAATATAGCACATCGACACGGTTTTGATCCTTGGCATCGTAGTTACGAGGCCATTGCTTTGTCACAGAACCATGACTGTACGCAGCGGGGGCTAGGGTAGGGGGCAGTTTCCATAAATATTAGAAAAACAAAGAAAATACAATAAATGATTTATTGCATTTTTCCCCGGTTCCCAACATAATAAATCCTCTGTGTGCCCATGCCTTGAGTCATAATGCATGGCCGTCCAGAGGATTTTTTTTTATGTTGGGGACCGGGGTAAAATGCAATAAATAGTCGAAAATTTAGTGCATTTTCTTTGTTTTTTTAAAATATTTATGGAAACTGCCCCCTACCCTAGCCCCCGCTGCGTACAGTCATGGCTCAGTGAGAAAGCAATGGCCTCGTAACTGTGAGGCCCCAGGATCAAAACCGTGTCGATGTGCTATACTAGTGCCCTTTTGTGGGGCATTAATCCTCATTTCTGTCATTTATGACTTAAGGGCGTAGGTCCCCTAGTTGACAAGCATAGTAGCATACACATGCTTTAGCAGTCACGCAAAACACACATTGGAAAATTATTATTCAATAATCTGAGAATGTATACTATTATCTAGATCTATTATTTTTAAATTATTTTAAAAATAATTCCATAAATTGGGGAAAAACAAAAATATTCCAACTATAATTATGAGCGACTGTATATACTCAGGATTGATAGCAAGGTTTAGTGAGCAAATCAGGTTGATACACTGGTGAAAAGTAATATAATTTAAATTCATAACAGTCATAATTCAGCCTCATTTGCAATATACGTTCTGCTTTAATTTTGAAATTGCTAGAATTATAATCAAATTGGCAAACATATATATTTTAACTGGTAAAGCTGTAGAGTTTTGTCGCATGATTTTGATAGAGTATAATCACTTTAAAAGCAATGCAAGTTTTTAGATAAATAGGGCAACGAATAAGGAAATGATTATTCAAACAAAAATTGACTAATGATCTTACTATACGGATATCTGAACTATTTGTTTCCTTTTCAGGCGTGGGCAAGACAAGCATTGTTGTGAGGTATGTCGGAAAAATCTTCAGTAATCAAGTTAGTCCAACTGTGGGGGCGTCTTTCTTCACATTCAAAATGTAAGTACAGTTGTTGAAACATTCTTATTTTTGATGGTTTTGATTTTTGCGACATTTTTTGTTTGATTGGAGTCGATCGTAAAGACGCGACGAAAATAAAACATAAAGTTATATGAAATTGAAATGTGCACACAATGACAATGACATAATGATCCAAACATGAATTATGCAGAGCATATAATGCAATACAGTTGCCTATTTAAATGGCCATTTCATGACAATCTTTGCGATCGTATTGTTTTTATACTGAATTATTTGTTTTTTGTTTGCTTTTAGAAAGTATTTTATTTTTTCATTCGATGAACTAAGTTACACATAATCGAGAAAAAAAGAAAACATTCTGTTACATATAAAATCATTGATTTTGATAAAAATTCAATGATAAACAATACGTTAAAATAGCAACAACAACCAATATAACAAAAGTCATAACATTGAATAAAGATGAAAATAAAAATGTTCTCCCTGCCCCCCCCCCCTCCCCCTCCCCCCTCCCCCCTGATGAATCCTACCGCAATTAAAGGGAACATGACCCCATCATTTCCGACCATTCGTGCTGCAGGTGTAGTATTATAACACTATTTCGTCCCATTTTCTGGAAAAGATAGGCATGATTAAATGCCATAAGTTCGTAGTTCATATCCGATTATTATTACTTCGTTATGCTTCATTTTATTGGTTGAAATCATCTGCAATATAAAGGACGTTAGATTTGAATTGGAACAGGATTATGATAATTAATTCACGAATTGTATGCATTTTCAATACCAGGTATCAGGACCTTTGTTGTCTAGCGCCAGCTATTTTTCCTTACACGATTAATCATGACGTCATGATTGTGTGCAGATTATCCAGTATCGGGTTAATCGAATCTTTGAGATAACGATTTGCAAACAATACTGTTTGATATTTAAACAATTGGAATATCAGGAAAACGGAGAGTTGCCATAAATATTCAGTTACAACTTATGATCACGTCATAACTTCGTCACTTAATCTACATTTGCCACTCTCCACCCAGGTGTAAATGGATGCCTAATATGCTTGAGCGCTAGTTACTTTGGCAGCTCGGCTACGACCAGTAAAGCGCCATGAGCGTCAGAACCTGGCGGATACCGGCGCTATATAAATAACCATAATTATTATTATTCGTAGTAGTAGTAGTATTATAAAACAATATGCATCCTTCTTTAACTCTTAGGAACGTTGATAACCATCGAGTTAAGCTACATCTATGGGACACGGCAGGTCAAGAGAGATTCAAAGCCATGGCTCCCATGTACTACCGCAAGGCAAACGCAGCTTTCATCGTCTATGACATTACAGACTCTAAAACATTTGAGAATATGAAGTTCTGGGCCGAAGGTAAGTAGTGCTGCATGGATAAAGAGAACTTGAATCAGAGTATTGTTTTAAGAGAATGGAGAATTTAAGGGAATTTCCAGCCATACATGTATGTCTTTTCCCTATATTTGAAATGAAAATTGAATTTGCAATTTGGATTTTCATCTTCGTTTTGCTGCCATTCCTACGTTCGTTTTGTTAAAGAGGTCATTATCCCGATTGCATGCTTGAACCATAGACATGCTTAACAGATTTAAATCAAGATTTGCACCCGTGTATGTAATTACTTTGTTTTGCTTTAATTAAGAGTCGGGACTATTAATGTATACGTTGTCAGATATCGAGACATCGTCTTGATATCTTATTTTGCCCCATTGCCATTGTTGTCCTATCGAAAATAATTATTGAAACCATTTCGATTGTTAATTAAACCGCCACCATGGTTGATTATGTTATAGGCATTATTCTCAATATTATATGCGTTCAACAATTTCCCTTCTCTATTTTAAGGGAGGAAATGTTGTTTCTATTTTTATGATCGTTATAAATATTTGCCTCTTTCATTGGAAATAGTAAATACTGCCTAAATGTCCAGATAAGATCAACTCATAAATAAAATCTGCTTTGAATAATATACTCTGTATTTTATGTTTGTTCTTTTTACCTGCAGAACTCGAACAGAATATAGACGGTCCAATAGGTAATATGCTTCATTTTACGAAATATGAATAAATGCTAATAATAATATTGTAACATTTGCCTTGTGGTAGCAAGCTCATGATTTTGGAAGAGAGCGCCCGAGAAAGAGAAGGAGAGAGAGAGAGAGAGGGGGGGGGGGGAGGCCCGGGAGGAGGAGAGGGTCATTGCTCCCTCAAACCGTATCATGGATCCTAGAAGCACACCAAGCATTGATAACAACAAATATCCGTGGATATTGCAGGTAGGAGGGAGATTGGAGATCTGTATAAACAGTACAGTAATCTTGTATTACTCAGCAGTTAAACTTGAAATCATCTGATTAGAAATAAAACAGGTGTCAATTAGAACATTCTATATATTTTTCTACAGTAATGTGCATACTGGGCAACAAATCGGACTTAGCTGATCACCGGCAAGTATCCTCTGAAGAAGGCTTGCATTACGCAGCCAGCATCGGGGCGCTCTTCTTCGAGACATCTGCACTCAAAGATGAAGGTGTATATAGCTCCCTCCTTCTTCTTTACCAACCTATTTTCATCTTCCGTTTATTTTTTACCTCTCCTTTAATATTTGCATTTCATCATTGTTCTTCTTTTCCTTCTTCTTCTTCTCTTTCTTCTTCTTTTACTTCTTCTTCTTCTTCTTCTTTATCTTTCTCTTGTTCTTTTCTTCTTAATTTTTTTCTCCATCATCGTCGTCACCCCCTGTTTTCATCATTTTCTTTTCCTTCTCCTCCTTTTTATTATTCTTCTCCTCCTGCTTCCCTCCTCCTCCTCCTCCTCCTCCTCATCCTCCTCTGTCTCCTCCTCCTCCTCCTCCTCCTCCCCCTCCTCCTCCTCCTCCTCTCTTCCTTTCTTCTTCTTCTTCTTCTTCTTCTTCTTCTTCTTCCAACTCTCCTTCTTCTTGTTGCCTTGTTGATAGATTCTATTGAGAGAAATGAATGACTAAATCACCGCAAAAACATAATTGTTTGGGAACACATATTAAAGAAACAAACAAACAATTAAAAAAAAACGTTGTACCTCGCTTCTATATACATTTTCAACAATGATAAAAACTTCATTAGATTTTACACCTCAAGCTTCTTCTTTTTCTTCTTCTTTTACTTCTTCTTCTTCTTCTTCTTCATCTTTCTCTTGTTCTTTTCTTCTTAATTTTTTCTCCGTCATCGTCGTCACCCCCTTTTTTCATCATTTTATTTTCCTTCTCCTCCTTTTTATTATTCTTCTACTCCTGTTTCCCTCCTCCTCCTCCTCCTCCTCCTCCTCCTCCTCCTCCTCCTCATCCTCCTCCTTCTCCTCCTCCCCCTCCTCCTCCTCCTCCCCCTCCTCCTCCTCCCCCTCCTCCTCCTCCTCCTCCTCCCCATCCTCCTCTTCATCCCCTCCTCCTCCTCCTCCTCCTCCTCCTCCTCCTCCTCCTCCTCCTCCTCCTCCTCCCCCTCCTCCTCCTCATCCCCCTCATCCTCCTCCTTTTCCTTTCTTCTTTTTCTTCCCGCTCTCCTTCTTCTTGTTGCCTTGTTGACAGATTCCATTGAGAGAAATGGATGACTAAATCACCGCAAAAACATACTTGTTTCAGAACACATATTAAAAAAAGAAACAAAAAAGAAACAATTAAAAAGAAACGTAGTACCTCTCTTCTATATACATTTTCAACAATGATAAAAACTTCATTAGATTTTACACTCGATCTTTGTTTGATGTCCGACGTAGGTATCTCCGAGGCCTTTCTCCGCGTCGCTCTGGCTCTCATCTCCTTAGCATCAAGCACAAGTATATCTGGTATGACCGTCAAACCATACGACACAAGCCGACGTCAATCCGCCGACATCACCGCCTTTCCACCTCATCTACAGCTACTCCGCGACAAGATAAGAGAAGACGGAACTCTTAGAGAAGACGACTATGATGAGGAGGAGGAAATGGAGAGAAATGGAAGAGGTTGCTGCGGGACATGACGAAATATCATTCCAAACGTGCAATATCAGACTTTTGATACATAGTCCGAGATAACAGCGGTATATGATGTAGACAGTGATGCAAGATGGTTTGAATATTGGAGTCTGGTGGCTCTAAAAAAAAAAGCAAATAATGCGAGGTTACTTTTTTTTGAAAGTATCGAAACGATGATTGATGCAAGCAAGGACTTTGTGCTGCTGCCATCCCGTTGTTATTATTATACGCGATCTGTTAATTGGAATTTTATCATGCAATTGTTTTTAATTTTCAGAAAATGTGAGTTTGAACGAACTCTCTTTTTTTGGAAAGAGAGCTGCGTTCCAGTAGTTTCTGGAGCGGTCTGAAATAGCTTCGTATCGTACATTTCTATATCCGCTACTAACCAAACATGTGATTTCAGTATAAGTTGCAATAGAAATAGAAAATTTGATAAAATTGAATTGTTCATGCATATTAATTCGAAAGACCATTGTCATGAGATCAGTATAACACCTTTGATACTGGTAGGCATGGTAGGAGAGATAAGAAGTGCATTTAATTTCCACTAGAAGGATATAAAAATGAAAATACAATTTGAACAACATCACACAAGACGATTATCATAAAGAAAAATGTACGTTTCTGATATACAGTGCGTCCTAGAAAAAAACGAAACCGAGAATTATCGATGTTTTATCATAACTTAATCAAAAATATAATAAATAAATGACACATATTTGGAAAGCTTAGACCCTCCTCTTTCATATGAAAGGGCATAAATTTAACTTTCTATAATATGACTTTCTCTTTGATATTTAGATACCGCCCGCCAAATGAATTTTTGTTTTTCTCTCTTCAAATTGCTTTTAATCACACATGCATGAAATATGCATCATATGAGTTGCATGAGTCGAATGATTAAGTTATTAATTAAGTTATGATAAAACATCGACAGTTCTCGGTTTCGTTTTTTCTGGGACGCACTGTATACGGGCACAATAATTGTAAAGGATCGGGGTTTGCCTCTTGCCCCGGATGACGACTTGTGAGTTGCTAAAGATTGTTGAGGAATTACAACATTATGATTTGTTTTAAATATTCGTTACATACATACGATGTGATAATCATGCATTCTTTCAAGAGTGACAGCTAATTTCAGCATATTCAGGCTGCCAGGAAAGTGTCTGAACCATACTTCGAAATACTTTGTGGATATGTCATAGAATTTATTCCCGAATAATTTAAACAATTCCGACGAACTTGTTCAGCAATATACTTAACTGTATTGGGTACATTCCTTTATAGTTTAAAAAAAAGGCAAGAACTACAATCCACATCAGGAACAGATTTTTTCAGAAGCAGAATGATATTATATATACCTTGCATTACAAAGTGCCCTATCCACCTTTTAATCGAAAATTATGTCTACGGGTTAAATATATATAACTTATACCGTATTTGTTTGATAATCAATTTTGAGTGTTAGTTGATAAGAGCAATATAGGCAAACGCTGTAGTAGATAACTGTGTTTTTAGCTTTGTATAGATAGTTATTGAAATAAAAGACATCAGTGGCGATGAAGCGATGGTAGCAATACATTGTTTTTGTATATAATTTATAAGGGCTCATAAAACTAACTATGTAACAATTATTAATCAAGACCAAATTAACTACGATGGCGGATCTTGGTGGTGGGGCACGAGGGCACGAGCCCTTTGCATAATCATTCTGACATATCTATAAAAAAAAAAGGTAAACAAAATATGTGTTCCTTGATATTTCGACTCCAGCAGAAACGAAAAACCCCAAAAGGCACTTGAAGTGTGTTTTTTTTGTTTGTTGTAATTAGCATTTTTTTTATCAGAGAATGTCAGACATGATTGTGTCTCTATACAGTGTGAGTCAAAAACAAGTTTACACCTTGAAAATTGCTAATTATTTTAAAAATCATCTGTGAAAAGTAAATTATTATACATCTTATGAAAGAGTGTTTTTTCCCAAATCATTTGATATAATTTTTGTGTGGTATGTGTTCACGCTTGGATGAACAGGAGGCATTGTTTGCGAGAGTGCAAAAATCGACTTGCGCCAAAGTTGCTTATGTGATGTTTGAATAAAACAATTGGGATTTGGGTACTAATTCGGTATTTGCAGATCCAAATAACATCCCTAACAAATTTAATCATGCCACACATATCAAATATCGAATATCAAATATCAACGAACATTTGTGCGCGCGTATGTGTGTGTGCTTGACTTTGCTTCTGCAAAAAGCTTCTGCAATGCATTTCATTTGATACATTCAATTCATTCTCTCGATCCGCTAATTTCGACATAATGTATACTGTAGGCATCACTTTGACGCAAGTCGATTTTTGCACTCTCGCAAACAATGCCTCTTGTTCATCCAAGCGTGAACACATCCCACACAAAAATGATACCAAATGATTTGGGATAAAACACTCTTTCATAAGATATAAAATAATTTACTGTTCATAGGTGATTTTAAAAATAATTAGCAATTTTCTAGGTGTAAACTTTTTTTGACTCACACGGTATACCCTAGAATCCCAGATCCGCCATTGTGTTAAAGTTGTCTAAATGTGATGTATTTTTGCCAAATTCAATTTGGTTTGAATTTGATTTCATTTATTTCACTTGATGTAATATCGTGGAATGTATGTTTCCACTGAGAATTATGTAATTTTACTTGAGGTCCTGAGCATATCTGAACATTAGTGCATTCATAAATAATTATTCTGAGTTTGATTGATTGATTGGTAATTGGTTGATTGATTGATGATTGGTTGATTGATTGATTGATTGATTGATTGATTGATTGATGATTGGTTGATTGATTGATTGATTGATTGATGATTGGTTGATTGATTGATGAGTAGTTGATTGATTGATTGGTTGATTGATTGATGATTGGTTGATTGATTGATTGATTGATTGATTGATTGATGAGTGGTTGATGGATTGATTGATTGATTGATGATTGATTGATTGATTGATTGATTGATGATTGATTGATTGATTGATTAGTGGTTGATTGATTGATTGATTGATGATTGATTGACTGATTGATTGTTTGATTGATTGATGAGTGGTTGATTGATTGATTGATTGATGAGTAGTTGATTGATTGATGAGTGGTTGATTGATTGATTGATTGATTGATGAGTAGTTGATTGATTGATTGATGATTGATTGATTGATTGATTGATGAGTGGTTGATTGATTGATTGATGATTGATTGGTTGATTGATTGATTGATGAGTGGTTGATTGATTGATGATTGATTGACTGATTGATTGGTTGGTTGATGAGTGGTTGATTGATGGTTGATTGATTGATTGATTGATTGATGATTGAATGACTGATTGATTGGTTGGTTGCTTGATTAAATGATTGATTGAATGATTGATTGATAGGTTTATTGATTTATTTATTGCTTGATTGATTAATTGGTATGTTAGATGATTGATAGAGTCTTTCTGTGGATAAAAGGTGGTAGTCCTGCACGAAGAGTTTATAGTGACATAAATTGTAAAAGGCTACACACTGGTGGGGTGGTAGGGGAAAATAGAGATAGAAGCCACAATAATTATGAGAATGTTTATAGAAAAATTTAGCGATATAGAACTGTAAGAATGAGGGCAACAGGGGCGGCGATCCGGGGGGCGGCCCCTGCTGGAAAGAACACACTCATTCACACTCATTCACAGTGTGAATCACACAGTGTTTCACATTGTGCTCCACAATGTTAAATTGGGGCGTTTTCACATTGTGGTCGATTCGTTTCACACTGCGTTTCACAGTGTGGATAATCGAAAAAGGAAAGAACACACTCATTCACACTCATTCACAATATGAATCACTCTGTGTTTCACACTGTGAATCACAGTGTGATTTCACAGTGTGATTCACACTGTTGATGAGTGTGTTCTTTCCAGCAGGGGCGGGACACTTCCCCCTAAATTTTGTGAAGGGGGACCCCCACCCCCCGGGAAATTAGAAAAAATGAACAAAACAAATAGCAAATACTGACTAAAGACTGCAACACACTTTTAGGCTCAGGAGGGCCCAATAGTGCAACGTTTAGACTAATACAAGTGCAAATAAGTAAATATTGTAGAATATCTGTATTCCGTTGGTATCAAGTAAACACAGTTTACACTGTATGTTTAAAAGATTAAGAGTTATAGAAATAGATCGGTGCTACAAAAATGAATATTCCGCGTGCTCTTTTCAGTTAGGAGTCACTACAACATAGTCTATACCGTATATATTTGCCAGGCCGATATTTGCAAATGTTCAACGCCCATAATGATATCAATATACACGTATGTGACAGAGGTCTAGAGTGGGAAATAGAAATCCCATTCATGTCCAAGCTCCCTGCTGATACCAACATTTACCTACTAAACTGATAGTTACAACCCTTCGGACTGCACACTTAAATACCAGCAAAGTAAAAGTGAAGTGTGAAAAAGGGGTTGGTTTTATACTATAGTTTTGCTAAGGAAAGTAATTATTTAATACGACAAAACCTACAAAAACCTGTGAGGGGGTAGTCACTGCCGCCATCTTCCCCCTTTGCGTTCACTATGCTCCCTCGTCCCTCGCACTGGCGTACTAATGGGGGGGGGGGTGGGCTTGGGGCAGTTGACCCCAATTAAAATTATAAAAAAATTATGTTGAAGAGAAATAGAAAGAAGGAAAGTAAGAATAGTGACACGTGTCACAAAATAATGATCATCTGACCGTTATTAAATACCTAAACCCCTGAGCTTGCGGGGGCTCTGATCCCTGAACACCACAAGGGGCCCTAAGGCGAGTCCCTGGATGCTCATCTGAACGTAATCTAATGCTTAAAAACCCTGAGCTTAGGGGGCTCCGCCCCTGGACCCCACGCCAATTAGTGACCTGCCAGTGTCACAAAGGTATCAAAATATGATCATCTGACCGTAAATAAATGCCTAAATTCCCTGAGCTTCCGGAGACTCCACCCCTGGACCCCCGCCGGGCCTTTGCCACTGGACCCGATATGCAAGGTTACGCTCCACTCGCTTCGCTCGCTACACTCCGCCTGATCATTAATACTTTAGCTCTCCCCCCTCCCACTTTGAAAAAAACGTTCCGCATGCTGCATGTAACATATAAGAGTGATTGTACTGCGGATTTGTTTTCTTCTACATCCCCCCCCCCAAAAAAAAAAAAAAAAAAAAAGTTTTTGCTCATTACGCCACTGGTCACTCGCATTTCGTCCACCCTCCCCGGTCATGAAAAAAAAATCGCCGCCCCTGGAGGGCAATGGAAATTTTAAGAGTCAATTCATCAGGAGCAGATCCAGGATTTTGTAAAAGTGGTAGAGAGTGCACCATATTAAAATATTCCGAAAACTTGATGACAACGTCACCATTCACCCCAAACAAACTCATCGGGTTTTCTTCGGTACCTCCTGACTTAGCTGACAAGACAGAAAAAAGGGCCATTACCCACAAAAATGGGCACGTTCTTGGACTTTGATACTAAAGTTATGCCACTTAAGTTTCAAAGGGGTAGGGATGGGGACACGGGCTGGTTGTGCATGCCCCTCCCCCACCCCCCCCCCCTCTCGCTAAATCCGCCAGTGATTCTCTCACCGATATCTTTTTTAAAGATAACTTGTAGGGATATCCCGATTATACTTATGAAGTAGCAGTAATAATAAAGAATCAGAATTATACCTTTTATTTGTATACCACTTTTTTCAGCACTGAAGTTTTAAATAACACCCCAGCGACAGCAGACTGCACGTGTTCACCATATACGATGTATATCGACGCTTCTTAGATTATTTTATCAGCGAGGGCGTCGTTCCGTACGGAAAATGTGTCATTGTCTATTTACGATAGATGACGTATTTTATTAAGCTTCTTGTGACCGTATATACAAACAAACAAGTAGTGCCTCCCATTAATTTACTGTCTGCTGATAATACAATACAACCTTTGTTGAATCGGAACACAGATCCGCAGTTAATATAGCTGTTATTTTGACCCTCGCATTTATAAACAGACATTCGGTAGGTGCAGCTAGCTCTACAGCTATATTTAGAGGACATTGTATTTTGTGTTTAGCCATTTAATCCGAGCATTTAGTAATCTACATATTATTTTGTCTAGAGCATTTTAACCATATTCAAGATGTCTACGACAGACGATAAACGCAATCTCTTTGAGAACGAAACGGGGACTGGAACCTCTGAACTGCCATCGCAGCCCGCGTCCTACCCTCGAGCACCACAATACCAACATGGTACCCAACACCCATACCAGCAGGCCTACTGCTACCCCACCCAGCCTGTGGCTCCACCACCGAGTGTGTTGCCTTACGACCTCGATCAGGTGATGGTGGTCCCGTTCGCCTTGCAGAGTAGGCGATACACTCCCAAATCGCTCACCCTTGCAGTCATCCTTTGCATCCCTATCCTGGGGCTGTTCGGAGTGCATCACTTCTACCTGAACAGACCGTTGCTTGGTGGCCTCTACTGCAGTACCTTGGGTCTCTTTGGCATCGGATGGGTTGTTGATTGGTTCAGGATTCCGTGCCTGGTGAAGAGGTGTAACGAGGACTTGAAGGAGGCACATGAGAAGGGTCACTGGTTGTTCTGTACTGAAAGGTTCGTTGGTCCTCTGAGGAAGATCTCCCTGGTTGATGCCTACCTAATGTGGCTGCCCCCTTTCGGCTTGTTCGGTGAGTGTTGTTTTCAAATAGTTATATTCTTTGTGGTCGAGATGGTTTTTCTTAAATCTTAAGGCGTGCAATGTAAATCGTCGTTTTGAATAACCTACACAAGTTTAGAAACTCCAGTGGATAGTGTCTTTTTGCGTCGTCAATATATCCAGAAAATTGTGTTGCATTGAAAGCGGTAGGTAGATACCAATTAAAGACATAATGTAATAAATGTATTTATTTTAAAACCTGCATGTCACATTAATTCATTCACACTTATCATATTTACTCTTATTCTTATTGTGCAGGCACCCATCACTATTATCTTGGTCGGACTCGGTATGCCAGCTTCCATTCTTTCTCCTTCGGCTTAAACGTTGTTGGGTGGGTTTTCGATCTCCTCCGCATGCCGTGGCTGGTCCGCAAGGCCAACGAGGAGGTCACCAGGATGAAGGCTGGTATCAAGGTCGAAAGGCCACCATACTCTCTCCTCGATGCCTATTTCTTAGCTGTTCCTCTAGGTTTCTTCGGACTCCATCATTTCTACCTCGGTAACACCAAGCGAGGCATCCTCTACCTCTGCACGCTTGGTGTCTTTGGTCTGGGTTGGCTTGTGGACATGTTCCAGATGCCTCTGATCGTCTCCGAGGCAAACAAGGAAAGGGAGCTGAGGGAACGACTGAACGGAGCTTTCACCCACCAGCAAAATCAGGCATCCACGACGACTGTAGTCGTCGTACCCGCGGGTGGTGGATACCAAGCATCGACTGGCTACCTTATCGAGCAGCCACCTGCTTATGCAGCCTACAACACCACCGGAGAGGTTGTCGAGAGGAGTTGCATGACATCAGGGCGACCAGATAATCATGAATATAATGTGCAAAGTGCGCAAATTCCACCACAAAATGGCTACAACTCGATGGATGTATCGAAAGGATAAATGTATAACATTATCAAATTTTGTACTCGGCTTTTCCTTTGTAATTACATACATCAGTTTTTTATTTATTTAATACATATTTTATAAACCAAGAGTATTTACCTTAATTACTGTTTAAAATGTGCTACATTACCCTCTTGTACTTAACGTATGAGATACTATATATAGGCACTATAATTATAATGGTTTCTATCTGGGATCATGTTGATGAAAAAAATAATTTCATTATGAGATAAAATCATGTACCTTCTATCTTGTTCCTTTTTTTCATTGAATATCTAAAATGTATGATTTCCCAATATTTTTCAAATATATTTTCCGCGGAGGGTGCTGCTCCATTAGCTTATCAATTGATCCTCATGTCGACTGGATTGTGTTATAGACTGGTTATAAATAGTACATTTTAGAGCCTTCAAAGTCCAAATATCATATCAGGTTCAATAAAATGAATCTGTTAAGGTTTAAAGACCTTTCGAATAATTCCTTGTACATAGATATACGAAGAGCTGTATCAGTGAGCGTATCAATATGCTTTTCTTCTCACGAACGTTCTTGTATGTAATTGGACTGCCAGAAATTACAAAATCAAATGGGGAAATAGCTTCAGACGATACAAATTCTGTTTCCTTTCTATTTCATTGTTTTTTTTTTACTGTAAAAAAAAAGAGAAGACAATTCATCATTGGTTTCGGGATCCGAGTGGAGTTAAATCTTTGTATGTGACAAGTGAAGAGGAATTAAACTAGGCATGTACAATATACTTTTGGGACAAAAATGCTTTAAAATGGTTGGAATTGGTTGAAACCATGTGGTTTAATCCAATCCACATGATAGACATGACAATATTAATGTCGTAAATTCATTGGAACAAGATTTTTTAAATATCACGTTGTTTGCCTCTTGAAACACGACAATTTCCTTTTTTTCTTTGTTTATATGTTGTTTTTTTTAATGCCACGCTAGCAACAATTGATCACGATAATTTAAAGCTAACAAAATTAAGAACCACAACTATCAATACAATACTAATTACAGACATATATGTTTAATCATATTCAGGTCTTTTTATTTTCTTGCCTTTACGGTGTGTATATACGGTACAACAGATAATATTTTTATTTCGACGAGTCATATTTATTTTTGTTGCCTCTTTCCCATTGTAAATAAAGAATAAATATATACATGTTTATATACGAGATTTAAAAATAAAAAAGTTGTTATGGTGGTTTCTTTAACGACACTGATGATAATGGTATCAGTGGTGATGTTGGTGGTTGGTAAAGGTAACAATTATGATGATGGTGATATTGATGATGATGATAATGACAACGATGGCGATGATGATGAGGGGAGAATAATTCATTCATTCATTCGTAGTCCGATGATTATATAATAATGGAAAATTGTTTTGATCATGTTTATAGAGAGGCTCAAGTATAGAGAGGCTCATGGTGTTGGTGATGATGACAATGATATTGACAATAAGGTTGATGATGATAATGATGGTCATGATGATTACAATGATAATGATGATGCTGGTGGCAATAGAGATGATGATGATTATAATGATAGTGATGATGCTGGTCGCGCCTGGTGTGCAATAGAGATGATGATGATGATGATGATGATGATGATGATGATGATGAAGATGATGATGATGATGAGTGATGATGATGGTGTGCAATAGAGATGATGATGATGATGATGAGTGATGATGATGGTGTGCAATAGAATTGATGATGATGATGATGATGATGATGATGATGATGATGTGAATAAAATTAATGCTTAAACATCTTTACCTACTTTGGTGTTGATGCAATTGAGGGTTTAGTGGAGACGAGAATGAGAGTGATTACTGTTGGTGATAATATACTGACTTCATGGAAAATATCATAAAGATTGATGCTTCGTAACGCTTTTGTCAGTATTTCATCTTCTATATCTGCGATTCTGTCATTAAACTCTAATCAGTTGGCGTTCTCTCTCTCTCTCTCTCTCTTCTCTCCTCCCTTCTTTTTCTTCCTACTTCCATCCCACCCTCTTCCCTCTCTTCTCTTTTCTTCTCTTTATTCTCTCCCCTCTCTTTCTTTCTTTCTCCCTTCCTTCCCTCCTCCCTCTTTTGATCACGCTATTTCTCTGTTACTCTTTACATGGTCAATATTTTCTATAGACATCGGTAACTGAATTATGGCCGCTTCATCTGTCTAATTCAGCGCCATTATCATTATATATTCTCAGTAAAAACTGGACTTTAAACTGTAAATATGACCCCCTTGGCAATGAAATTAGTTTTGTCCGTGAATAAATGTAGGATATACTAACTGATATACATGACGTGCTAAATAATGAAAGCTTCTATTGAGAGTGAGACTGACTTATTGATCTTGTGGACAAAAGACAACGTCTCTTGGCATAATTATTATGAATTGTTTTATGTTTTATGTTTTTTTTTTTTGGGGGGGGAGGGGGGGTATTGAAAGCACATATTCTCGTAGTCAGAATTGCATGGAGAGGTCCAGATGGCTTGAAAATTGACACATTTGACAATAAATAAGAAAAAGAATGAGAATATCAAATTGACGTTCGCATTATCAAGAAGACGTGATAATATGCAGGGCTTGCCGATAAATGTGATGCATCTTTGGTTGCCATCAACATGTTTATCTCAATTGAAGGGCTATACAGTAGTGAGGATTTTGGTTCATTTACGTCACATGGCCAACTCAAGAATACGATTACTGAATAACAGTATAAATATTGTTAACATGCAATAAAGCAATTATCATATCTTACCCAACTTACTTTATGATGTTTATCTCAATCGAATATTGGATATTGTGGTTTCAAGGGCATTACTTTCAAGACCTCTTAACACAAATCACCAATCTTAGATTGGTAAATTTGAACAAGCAAACAAGACAATATGCGGGAACAAGCATCAGGTGATTACTCCAATGATGACATCATACTGTAATATTAGTAATATAGGTAATGTGGAAGTTATTGTATTATAATATCGCGAGACCCCATGACTTGAGCAAACTCACCGTCGAGATAGAGATCGTCGTGCACAAAAACAAGGTAAACATTCGAGGTACGCGGCGAAGTATAAAATTGAACTTCACTCTTTCAGCGTTCTCATTTTGTGATAAGAGTTCCAGATGGTTTCCGTTGTCTTTTATCATTGACACATTTGTACGTAGTATATATTGCGGCGAAGGACAAGGGATATGGAAATGCAGTGATACTCTTAATACTTTATCTTAGCCTGGAGCGCATTGTGATATTGTATAATTATCATAAAGAGGTGAAAATTTAATTTACTATCAGACGATAGAATGGCGTCAACTTCAGATAAAGTTATACCCCAAGGAGGAGTGACACCAGAAACAGGTGGATACCAGAACCAGAATCCAGGTGTATACCCTCATGCGTCTACCACTTATCCATACCCTAATCCGCCGTACCAGCACAACACCCAGTATTCTATACACCCACCCATGGCGCCTCAGCAGCCTCCTCAACAAGCTCCCAACATCCAACCAGACCAGGTGAGGGTGGTTCCTTTCCATGCTTCTGTCAGTGCCCTTAACAAGTCTACCACTCTGGCTGTCATCCTCTGTGTTCCGATCCTTGGGTTGCTGGGACTGCATCACTTCTATCTCAATCGGCCTTACTTCGGCGTCATCTATGCCTTTACACTAGGTAATGTGATTTCTTAAGATTTGTTGATCCGAATAGTGGTATTTTAAAACGGGTAAATAATGGACAGGGAAAAGTAGTGCCGCCACCGCTATTCAAATTTGATTGCTGATTAATTTTGTGTCAAGATATCAGGATTACAAACCTTATGAATAACTTGATTTGATTTAAGCAGCAGTGGTGGGGATCGAACCGTTTTGAGGAGGACGGGGGAGGGGAAAATAATGAGGGCATGGACAAACCGATTGAGCCACTGGATCCAAGAATATTCAAATTTGATTGCTGACTTAGTTTCCCCATCAATTTATTGCCAACAAAGGACCAAAATATTAGGGTTCCAAATAATGTTACTCTGAATAGTTCGATTTGAAGATGCTAACAATACAATAACAAAAGTGGAAGTGGTCATATTAAGGGGGATTGGCAATATTTTGATGTAGAATGAAGATGATAAATGATATGTACAATCGCTTGATACGACACGTCTTTGTGAGCTTACTGGTTCCACCTCCCTTTTCTTCTCCATGCAGGACTATGTGGTCTCGGGTGGCTGATTGATTGGTTTCGTATCAAGTCTCTCGTCAGGAAATGCAACCAAGAGACACGAGAAGCACAGATCAATGGCTACCAGCTATACAGTCCCATGTACCATGGTCCTCTCACCAAGATCTCACTCTGTGATGCCTATATGCTCTGGCTTCCACCGATTGGGCTGCTAGGTAAGTCGATTCCTGCCTTGCGTTAGAACTGCCAAACTCTCGCCACATTTAAGAAGTATCTAAAAAAAAACAATGCAAAGACTCTCGAAAAATGAACCTATACCGCAATTTCAATAGCCTTGTCCATCACCTTATGAAATGTGCGAACATTAAAAAAACGTATTAAGTAATAAGAACATGATTTTTATGGGATGTACAATATGATATTGAATTTTTCGAAGTAGTTACGATTGTGTTGCAAACATAATTTACTGCGTCTTATTGTATGTTTGTACCAAATGTTTTTTCTTACCGTGCTCTATTTCATATATGTTTTTTTTTATTACGGTAATTATTCATGATGCTTTTATCATATTTGCTGGCCTCTGTCACTCGTGCGATTGAAGATTTAGCCATTAAATTCGAATTTTTGAATTAGATATTACAAGAAGTTGGCATCATTGTGATGTGGTAATATAGCTATTGTGTTATGGCATTGGTCGATGACAGGCTTGAACAAGCATTATGCAAAGAATCCGAGTCGCTTGGGTAGTGGTATTTCCATTTTTTAAACCAAAAATAAACAATTGATTTCGATTGAAACGCAAAATCCTCTATACCTTTAATAAGGATATTTATGTTTTTTAGTTTTCTGTTAAAGTAATTCAATTTCTTTCGTAATGTTTTCACGTTAGGTTTCTACCAGTATTATCTTGGTCGTAAACGCTATGGCATTTTCCACACCCTGACACTCGGTCGCTGCGGCCTCGGCTGGCTTCTAGATTTCTGTCGCCTTCCTGCAATGGTCCGCAAGGCCAATGCCAACATCGCCATGATGAAGAAAGGTATCCGGGTAGAAGACCCTCCCTACTCGGTCTGTGACGCCTACACACTGGCCTTCCCTCTCGGCATCTTTGGTCTGCACCACTTCTACCTGGGAAACACCCGGAGGGGAGTCCTCTTCCTGTGCACGGTGGGGGTCTTCGGCTTAGGGTGGCTAGCAGACCTCTTCCAGATGCCTTTGATCGTGTCGGAGGCAAACAAGAATCGGGAGCTGAATCAGCGTTTGGTGAACGCCACGGCTAATAACGAGACCAGCACTATTCATACCACCGTCGTAGTGACGTCTGCTAACTCAGGCTACACCAACGGTCCGGGTGACGCCCGTGGGCAGGTCCTTGGAGGAGAGGCAGTTGGAGCTGTGGGTGGGATCAACGAGCCACCACCAGTCTACAGACCTGAGGCTGGAGAGGGTGAAAGCGTCATGATCGTAGCCAGTGATGGGAGTATGGGGGCACAAGGATATGGGCAAAATGCTTCGTCGTCACCCGCAGAGACCAAGGAGATGAAAGATATCGTTGTCTAAGAAAAAAATTGTTGTCTAAGAATGTCGGGTGGTACTACTTCAAAGAGCTAGCATTTAAACAGAAATATCGAATATATTAAGATAATTTCAATTGTTATCAGTGTAATTATCATCGTAGAAGCATCTGAGCTTTGACTTTGGGACAATAGTTTGATCTTCTGGTCACTAATCCAACTTTACCTCATGAAAGGAAAATTTACAAAAAAATGCATTATTGTCAAATTGCGATGTGATGGTGTGTTTATTTTGAATATTGTTCGTGCAGCCTCTAAAACAAATCATTGTTGAATCAGTATTTTAAAAAGGCCGAGGATTGACCGCATGCTTAATTGTTTTATTCTACTATCCACGGTCCGTTTTTACATATTAAAGAATTTGATTGTTTGTTTTTATTCATATTTACCTCCTTCACTATTTTACGTATGTATTTCTTTGTAATGTTTATCTCGCTTTTTATGATCATGTATCTTGTTATATCTTTCTTTTTCTATTCTACTTCTTCTCCTTCGTTTTTTGTTGTCGTTGGTATTGTATTTTAATGATGTTAATGTAAATATTTAAAGATTTGTATACTGCATAAAATTACCCTGTACCTTATAATCTGTATATTTGCTTCCAATCTTGTATGATTGTCTCAATAGCAATTATATTGAGGATAAAGAGAGAGAGAGAGAGAGAGAGAGAGAGAGAGAATGCATGGAGAGATAATGAAAAAAAGAGAGGGAGAAAAGGAGAGTTATATATATAGAGGGTGACGAGTCAAGAGAAAAATACTGCGAAATAAAGAGACGGGCTGATAGTTGCATTATCAGTGATTGTTGAAGTGCGACGAAATGCAAGGAAAGGGGTGACCTATATACCAGGGGGCTAGGGTCTCTCTGAAATAGGCAAAGAGTGAGATGGGAGAATGAGACAGAGAGAAAGACAGGAAGATGGGAGGAAGGGTCAGAGAGAAAGACATAGAAAGCGAAAGGTTTCACTTGGACGAATGAGAGGAAGTGGAGCGTCCGACTGGGAACGGATGACGTAAGGCAGAAGAAATAGAGGTGGAGAGAGAGAGAGAGAGAGAGAGTGTGTGTGTGTGATAGAGAGATGATAGAGAGAGAGAGAGAGAGTGTGTGTGTGTGTGTGATAGAGAGATGATAGAGAGAGAGAGAGAGAGAGAGACAGGGGGGTGATAGAGGGGTAGGGGAGACGGGCTATATACGAGTGCTTTGTTTCAAAAAAATTATTTTGAAACAAAGCACGAGGAAGAGATGCAAACGACTGACCGAGGGAGGCTCTGGTAAAGGAAAAAGGCAAATAATTTTTTTAAAATAAATTATCATTATCATTATTATCATTATTATTGTTGTTATTAATATTATTATTGTCATTATCATTATCATCGTTTATTATTATTACCATCGACATCCGTCATCATCATCATTGTGAGGAGGAGGGTACCAGTAATATTATCATTATTATCAATGATTTTACGATTTCGAGCAAGTGTGGAAAATGTATATTCGATTGTGCAGTAAACGGAGGTATTGTGATCTATGCGTGCTTCTTGATGTCTGAATCTGAATCTGTTCTGTTTCTGGTCCTGATCCTCGAAGTGGGAAGTTGTTTACCAATAAGAACCTTAGCGTTTAGGAGAGATTGTTTATAGTGTACTTAGTACATTTTTATTTGCAGGGAGGAACTATGATTATTACCCCTTTGGATTGCTTCCCAGAGTCTGGTTTTGAGGGTTTCTACTGAATTGCAGGCATCAATGTTGGGGGAAGTAGATTCCAGGCCCGAATGGTGGTTGGAAAGAAGGTGAACCGATAAACATCCGCATTGCATCTTATTTTTGAGATGGAGATACTATAGTGTCCCTTTAGAATCTTCTGGGGTTGCTTAATGTATTCAGGGTTGAAGAAAATTGAGCGCCAAAAAAACTGCCAAGCCAAAAACGATTTTGTATATATAGTGGTTGCCATTCTAATTCACTATTCAAGTATGATACACGGACATCTGTTCCATATTTGCCGGTGACAAATCTTGCGCTTCTGTTCCTAAATTCTTCTATTTTGTTGACCCCACACGCTACTTAGCATATTCTAGATGAGGCTCCACTAGACAAATAGATGCAGCTTCTCTGACCGTGTGAGTAGAGACAGACAACACTTCTGTATTATGTGTATAAGCATACAATATTATTTGCTGACCATTTAAAATAGTCATCTTAATCAGGCTAAATGGAAGGGTGTGTCTGTGACGTCAACAGGGAAACAATCTGATCTTATGTGTTATTAAAGATACAGAAGAAATTCAAACAATTTTATTTGCAATCGAATCAAAAGGAATATAGAGATTGCTTATTCGTTTAATTTGGCTTTAACCGAGCACCATTGCTCTTTCATCGGACTTTGCATCAAGGAGTATCCTAGATACTAATAGTAAACACAAGACTGTAAAGTTGTCGGTATCAAAACGGAATACTATTTACAATGTACACGACCATTTTTTGTTATCGAGCCATGTCTAATAATTAACAGCTCCAATCGATCTTTGCGCCCATCCCATATACAACTAATTTATCTCCTTTGTTTGTTGATCGGACGGCCGCCCATACGAGGTATAGTCATGTGCCTTTAAGATGATGTCATTTGCTATATGAAGACAATTACAGGCCTCGAACTACAACAGCACTACATCTACCTCGATCATAAACCCTTCTTGGTAAAGAAAAGAATTGGAATTTTGAGGTTGTTCGCAAAGACCTAATGGATGATGTGAGCTCATAATTAATCAACCAACGTCGGCAACCGTTTGAAGATAATTTTTGCTCTGTTTGTTGCCGCCTTTTTCCATTCATTATAGCGGATAGGATCGATCCAAAATGACGCAGGTAGAGGTCCCAGACATGCAGACGGCTCACCGTCAATTCCACGAGCAGGAGGATAGAGACCGAAGCAACATGCCTCAGTACACAGATGAAGTCTACCTCACACCTAGCCATACCGCCCAGGACAGAAAATTCGGGTTAGCCACCTTCTTGAGCCTGCCATTCTGGGGGTTGTTTGGCGCGCACCACTTTTATCTTCGCAGGAAGTTCTTCGGGACCGTCTACGCCTTCACGCTGGGACTGTTCGGCTTTGGTTGGTTCATTGATTGGTGCAGGATTGGAGCTCTTGTGAGGAGATGTAACCAGGACACATCTGAAGCCAGGGCAAAGGGCCACTGGCTCCACAGCAAGAAATATCCTGGCTACCTCACTGATAAGACCCTATTGGATGCAATAATCCTCTGGCTTCCTCCCTTTGGCGTCTTCGGTAGGTAAATTGGCTATGTACTGGGATTGCCTTTAAGCGAACCAATTCTCACTTTATCTCGAATAAGATTACTTTAAGTTATTAACAACAACAAAAAAGAAGATGTAAGTGTAAACGCGTACCTTGTATGTATAAATAAAGTACACATTTCCTTTCCACAGACCTGGTCACAACAAACATTCTGAATGATATTACAAAAACATTTTTTTTTGCAAATCGAGTATTTCTTAAAACATTACTTACTGTACAATATTAGGACAATATAACACTACGAGAATAGATAGAATAAACGATTTTATTTACCCAATTAATCTTTTATGTGATTTAAATTTGTTTCATTTTTCCTGTAAAGTACATATTGACAGAAAATGCACTCAAGTTAGGCAGAAATTGTACATGATAACTTAAAAGTAATTTCAATTGATGAAAATTGTATTTAGTAAAACAAAGAAGTAAACAAACTGAAAATAATAACAGAACTTTCCTCTTGTGCAGTTTGATTGCTATTTTAGAAGTTTAATGATGAAAGCACGGTTGGCCATTAAGTATATATTATGTCTCACTTAAAATCTGAATAAAATATTTAAAGTTCACGGAACTATATCTTCGTGATGTTGGATGTACCTTGTTTCCTTCAAACAAGTATAAACAAAATGAACGTTCTTGTTGCATATACAGGTCTATACCATTTCTACCTTGGGCGGAAGCGATACGGCACGTTTCAGGCCTGCTCTGCTGGTTTCTTTCTCTTCGGATGGCTCATGGACATCTTTAGACTCTCCTACATGGTTGAGAAAGCTAATACTGATGTGAAGCTCATGAAGAAAGGTGTACGGGTTGGAGAGGACCCTTACAAGACATCCGATGCATACTTGCTGGCGTTTCCTCTAGGTTTCCTTGGGCTCCATCACTTCTATATGGGTAATAAATCAAGGGGGATCCTCTACCTTTGCACCTTTGGTGTCTTCGGGTTTGGGTGGATCACCGATCTCATCCAGATGCCAATGATTGTCAGGGACGCCAACAAGAAGCTGAAGCTGAATATCAGGCTCCAAAACGCATTGACTCAAGGACAGCCGCAGACAAATGTCCTGGTGATGACGACCATACCGGCCACCAATACAGGGTTTGTCGCAGGGCCTGTTGAAGGTCACCCAGGACAGGATCCTTCCATGGTGCCGGGAGCTACGGTTAATCTTCCAGAACCTCCCCCAGCGTACAGGGAGAATGCATCTGCAGGGGAAACGGTGATTCACGAATGAACCTAATCAGTGGTGCCTATGGGGTCTCGATGAACATCGAATGGACAAGTAGGTGCATTGAGAGCAGGAGTTGCCCTGAGAGTTAGTGTGACACCAGCTTCTAGTGATTCTATAAATCAGTTAATAATAAACTAGTCTTGGACAATGACCTTGCTCATGATGGTGACAGTTGGATGGCAGGTTAACGACATGCATGTTTACTTAGTGTGTTTTGATTAAAACAAATTCCAAGTTATTACTAATGATTCTTCATGACATATAAACAACACGGTATACATTAGAAGAGAAAGTGTCTGTATTAATAATTTATTCTTCTGATAGAGAGCATCATTGAATTCATAATATTCGTTGAAAAGATGTTACCAGGGTTTACTCTTAAACGCCCCCCCCCCCCTTTTGGGGGGGAGGGGTGGGGGGTAGGCAGTATCGTTTCACAAATTTGATTCGGGTGGGTGTTTATTCACCTACCCTGCAAAATAAGTATATGCTGCATGCATAGAATGCATTTTTTTTTTTTTTTTTTTTTTTTTTTTTTTTTACTCCAATCCACTATTATCATGTCAGCAACTGTGGAGGTAGTGTGCTCACCCCCACCCCACCCCCAAAAATAGAATTTTAACAAAAGAAAGGGAGAAATCCTGTATATCCTTACATATCCTGTCATTGACATGCTGTCCGAGAGAAGGTGACTGGTAACAATACTGTATGTGAATTCTGGTTTGATTAAAAGGACTGGACACATTTGTATCAACTTGTCAGAAATATTTACTTGGACAGAAAATAAGTGAAAACTAAATTCATTTCATGTTAGGCAATAATATATGCTACAGAATGTTGCAGATGGTAAATCTCATTTGTTAGACGTGTTCAAATTCTATACCATCGAAATTCTAAATTGGCACTTAAGATAACGAATGCATGTGTAATATTATATGCAGTTAATACTGAGTGCATTATTACTTTGCATAATTCACCAAATGTTATATTGTGTTTGTAAATAAAAGTTCCATTCAATACAGAAATCATAATGCAATCCTCTTTTGAGTAGTACTGTCAATAATATTCTTATCTATACTCTCTGCTTCAAATTCTTATTACATTGTATTTGGTCAAAAGCACTATCAATCAAAATCGAGAAGGGAATGACTTGGATTATCATGAGCACTTTGACATGTGGACAATAATATTCTATATGCGTCTCACAGTAACTAATCGCATTTAATTTTTGAAGTCATGTAGCGATGTGTTTCGTTGTTTACATAATGCAAGCAGACATAGGTAAATTTCCTGACCTGATGGTCCCAAAATAGTTTATCAAAAATACAATTCAGTGCGTTTTTAGTGCAATGGGCAAGAATAATAGTGTAAGATCGGGTCTGCGTTTTTTTTTTTTTTGGCTTTTGTTTGAAGACTTGTCAACAACACCGGTCAACTTATTCTGTGCTGTCCAATATAGGGAAACTATAAGGCAAAACACAAACATCATGCAACGTAAATCGAACGCTCATCAATCACACTCTTTGGTAATATAAGATGCAGTGCTAGCGAAAGTAAACTGGTGCCATAGCGTTAGACACAACTAGTATATTGCGCCAATCTTTGGACCTCATTACGTCTTGGTCTGTCCAATCATCGATGGCAATCTGTTTGTAATATAAATTATGACGCTTTCTTCTAACCTCTCTGAATCATAGGTTTCTCGTCAAGATGAAAAGATTCAAGTATGCATGAATGACGGAAACCCAAATCGTTATTTCCTTCCTTGCGTCTTTCATTGTTGGCAAAATACTATTCAATCTTTGGTATATCACGTTGGACATTTCCCCAAATGCAGTTTGACAATCCCTGCTTTATGTAGCTTCTTCAGCAGCACGAACTCGTCCGGTAGCTGGTGAAACCGCCGATAACCATAATCATAATTATTCCGTGTTTTGTTCCTCCTGCTGTCATCGTAGTGGTACGGGATAGAAGTTTCTTGGAATTGGGGGAAGGGGTAAAATCCGTACATGTGGATCTCCTCACAGATCGTGGCAGCGATGTTGAACATGAGAAGACCAGTACTGATTCTCTCCTCGTCGATCCCCTGCGTTAACCAGTAACTGATATAAAAGAAAAGAAAAGGAAATTTGACAGCACATTAAGATAATTAAGTCGCCATCTACAGTTTTATCCATGTAAAAGAAATACACGATTTTTGACAGTTTTCATCTTAATAATACCATCTCACGCTAAGGGAATATTCAAAAGTTTCAACTACTAATATATACTGAAAGTTGTTGGTATATGTGAGGGCCAATGAAATCTAAAGAGCTTCACATCTATTTAGATATGAATGAGTTAAATTTAAACAATAAATATAGAAAATCGAATAAATGAAATACATACATGTACAAACATAATGATCGAAACATAATTAATTGTACATCTTTTTTCAATCAATTTTAAGATATAATATCATCAAGTTAAGTTAATCTCTAAGAATCAAGAGAAAATGTATTTTCCTTTTTCATTACAGCAAATACCAAATTAATTGCTGAATGTTATGTCTTCTTTAAATAAATGCGTAAAATATCTTACTCTGATATATCTGGAAGGATATTTCCTGGAAACGCTAGCTGGACGTTGGTGAATCTTTTAAAGTTCAGATTGAAATACTCTAATATCTCATGGACCGTCCTGCTTACGTAATGCGTCGAAAATATTGGAATCCACAAAACATATTTCCCATAGCTAACCAAGCGCTCCTCGAAGCTCTTCTTGTCCGTATCCTTTTTGAGTCTGCCGTAGAACCGATCAAGGATGCTTGGGTTAAACGTGATGACGTCTGTCTTCGTCCCAACATCCTTCTCGTAACCTTTGACCGTAGCGAAGTTGCATCGGAAGGCGAAGTCGGCTGCGTCGATCTCGGCACCGCAGGAGCTGTTGATAAGAATCCCGCTGTTGCCGACCACGGAGCATGTCTTGAAGTACTGATTACTGAAGAGTTGCTTTGTTGGGAGAAGCTTCCTAAGACCTGGTGGTATCAGGGTCATGGCCTTTGCCTTGGCGCTGTAGAATCGCTTGAGTTGACCTCTCGTGTCGTCGTCCGATGTCATGGTGATCATCTTGTACGGGTTGAAAAATTTGCGCATCTCAGATCTGTTTCGCATGGGGAGACGGAAAAATTGGAAAGTGTCTTTAATCATCATTCAAAAAAAGTCAAATTATTATTTCTTGTCGAAAATATATATCCTGTGAACATTTGATATCCATCTTCTTTAAGCCATGCCATAATTCCGTCCGAACCTGACGCTTTCTTATTTCCTAAACAACTTTTACAACACTGCGACAAAGTATTCATGGAATGGCTGACGAAAAACAGAAATAACACGTCGGTTATCAACAAAATCATGTGTAGACCTATCTACCTTCTAGTTATAATACAAATCACTCATTTTCTGTTTTATATTGTCCAATCACTTTAATGATAAATCAATTATGATTCCCCTTCTTTCAGAGCTGATCATAATGCATGAATATTTTGGGTCAGAAGCACAGCGGTTGAAATCGAGATGATCAATATCGGCTCTATAAACAAGATAATGCAGAATGAAATAGCGCCATCTCTTGACGGTTCATGGAAATTCTATCAAGGATTCATGGTTTACTTTAGGAACACACAGGCTTCATTTTTTTTTTCTTTGTCTGTCCTTCTTTATACCTGGACATCACAATTCCCATCTTTTTGTCATCTATCATGTGTTTACTGTGCTCATACACATGAAATAATATCATTCTATTTCCTATTTCCTCTCTATCGCCTACGTTTTTTGAATGAGTCATGGCCATTGTCTTAAGTTACCACTCTATATATTTTCACGAGTTATACCACTTTGGACGCTTCAGAGAGCAATTTTGTCTGTCTAACCTCTCCAGACATAAATATTTAAAATAAAATTTCCACCATCAGTAACGGCAGCAACGATCGAGATGTTTTCAAAATTATTAGCAAACAAATAGTTAACCGTCAAACCGTTTGTCTTTATTCGTCGTATTCTCGATATTTAATGATTTTTATGAATAATTTCCCGTCCTTTTTTTTTACATGTTTGATAATCTCTTTTTATTCTCCTTCTTCCTCTATAAATTCTCATTTTTTACCCTACTCTACCTACCATGAAATTGCGTAAATTGGTATTTAAATGTGATGAAATCAGGACTAATATTCATATCACCTGTAGCCTACATATTCCGTACTAACTTGTGAGGGAAACCTGAAAATAAGCAGGTGCATGCAAGCAGTGACATGACCCCTTGTAAGACACATAGTATTACAACCTTGATAAGACTGCTATACCTTTAATAAGTGAATAATGTTGTGTACTTCGTTTCTATAGAAGCTATTACCCTCTACACATCCTTTGTCCTCTTTTTCTCTTTATTCCTCCATTCGATTAGGATGCCTATGCACATGAATCCATGACCCCCCCCCCCCCCCCCCCCCCCCCCCCCCCCCCCCCCCGTGGAACTATGCCATTTGTCTGCTCACCTTGTTTGAAGAAGTCCTGTTTTATTAGCAGCCCAGTGATGTTGTAAGATCTCTTCAACGTTAGCTTTGGCCTTGTCATCATACCGGACGATGGAATAATAAGACTCTTCACCGTAATCGTCTTCCTGCGCTTGGTCTTCTGCGAAACCCTGCATCTTTCTATTAGGAATATGAAGATAATATAACTATGGTTATGATTACGGTACCATAAAGGGTTTTATTCAAGAATAATTAGGCAATTCGTAAATAATATTAAAATAATGTGGAACTGCGTCAGGGTGGGAGATGCAGACAGAGGGACAGAACCAGGAATACTGACAAGTGAACGAGGAGTGATAGAGAAATCGAGGGAGATTGAAGAGGAGCGTACGGTTTTGAGAGAGAGACAGGGCAAAGAAGAATTAAGAAAGGAAGAAGAAAGATAAAGAAAGAGAAGAGAGAGAGAAATAGTGTGTATTTGAGAGAGAGAAAACAGGGAGGGAGAGAGAGAGAGAGAGAGAGAGAGAGAGAGATGAATAGCATAATTATAGAGAGATTGTTATGCATGATTTTATATTCCCAGATCCCCATAATTTATATTTGATTTATATTTTTATCGAATATAAAAATAAAGAAACATTCGCGTTAGAAGGGCATAAAGTGAGGGTTGAAACTGCTCCCTTGCAAGATTGTGAACATGGATCCTACTGATATCAACTCATACAAAATACAATATTTTCAGGCTGCTTGAAATTTTGCGAAGCTTCGGATACCTACGATCTGTTTTTTGTTGTGGTTCTTCGTAATTTTTCTAAGAACTGTCGCTGCATTGTTTCATGATAGATACTGCCAATACCAAGCTCAATGAAAAATGATATCGACAATGACATAACGTAACCTTTGTTATGCTCTTAACACAGCGTGATGTGGAAGACGCCATGGAGTATGAACTATGAAGGATTAACACAAAAACCCAGCATGGATTCTGTCTGGTATAATTTTTTATCTTAAAATAATCTGGCCACGTACAGACGATTATGAGAGATAAAACCATCCCAAGAATAATGCGGTAAAAAGGCCCGATGCATGGCATCAGTCCGGTTCGACGAAGAAACGATACATGAACCTATTGTGGCGTTCAGTCAAAATTTAAAGTCCTAATCGACTCGAATATAAAAATAATTTTAAAAAAGGACAAAATTCTTATTTAAAAGTTTTCAATATATTTTTTTTTCATTCGGGGGGGGGGGGGGCTATTGAAAGAGGAGCAAGGGGCAAATTTTCCCCTCCTGACAGCTTTCTGACCAAGGAAAAAATAGATTCTGCCCCTTGTTGTTTACTCACAGTTAGCAGGTTAGGAAATCGTTGTCAGACAACAAACACACGAAATATTGACTTATTCTAAGTTACTTACGACTTTTTTCTTCCCAAGTTCCCATCTTCAAATTTGTGGGTGGTACATGCTCCCCTGTTAAACAAACCAAAGCCCGGTCAAAAAATAGTTTCCTTACTAATAGTTAATGCCGATCACAGTAAGTTGAGGTACATGATCCCCTGTTAAACAAACCAAAGCCCGGCCAAAAAGTAGTTTCCTTACTAATAGTTAATGCCGATCACAGCAAGTTGAGGCGAAATATATAAGTTGTAAATGTTATCATAAACCATCACCAAACATGTTACAAAATGTGCTGAAACAACATGAAAGCTCTCGTGGGCCAATCATCTCAGAATAAATGAATACAATTAAAACAGGACTTTCCCCTCCTTATTTCCAAAACCCTTATCTTGAAAGCCCCTCGTACCGATCATTCATCTTTACTCATCCCTACTCATGCGGCTAAACCGTACACTTGTATCAAATAATAACGGTAATCTCAACATATCGCTTTAAAGGGATAGTCGAATTGTGTTGCAGAGGGCGCAACACAAAATATTTTTTTGTGAGATAATGAAACACTGACGTGTCAAAATATGAAAGAACATACTATTCAAATGACAAAATCATCTTTGCTTTATCAATATCGGTTCAGAGACGGCTGAAATATCCATAAATATGACCATTTCTAATATTTGTGGGGCCCCACAAAATAATTTCCATTAAAAAAAAACGAGATAACGCCTTATTCGTTTTATTCCAGCCAATGCCAATGTTGGATTTTTCGTGTTGGTTATGATACGCACAACAAGCTGACCCGTGTATTGTTATTATATATTAATTAATTAATTAATTAATTAACGGTCACCATACTTTTTTTTAATTGGAGTTGAATTGGTATGATGGTATTTAATCTTAATTTGTAGGTCATAAAAGGGCACTAGTAATAAGATAGATTGTCGTATAAATCCTCTACAATGATTGCTGCGTAGAATCATGATAAAGCATTATGTTCACAGAGATTACTTTCACCACGAAACCGTTGCCATGTCACAATCGATTTCAAGCGATTTTATGTAATTAATAGATATAATTGCGAAATTTCAAAGAAGCTTTTGTACAATAACAGAAGGAATTATATCATGAAAATGAGAAAAAAAATTCGACCTTGCCAGGACTCGAACCTGGAATCCCCTGATTCGTAGTCAGATGCCTTATCCATTGGGCCACAAGGCCGCTCCATACACTATAGCGAAGTTTGTACTTTGATTCTAACGTATTGAGAACCGCGCGTAATACACACACTGTCACGTGATTTTTGCATGCCTAGCCTTTACACAAGTTTTTCTTTTGTATATTTTGATTAAAAATATGATATGAGGACTTTACTAGCGATAGAAATGTATTCATATCATAATAAATATTTATTTTTCTAATGACAACTTCGTCAGATCTACTACACTAATACACTGTACGTCACACTATTGTGTTTGCAAAGTGAACGCACACAAAGAATAACCAGGGACAACAGGGATAACGGCGGTCATAATGTTAGTCTTCTAACAAAGACCCTAATTTGAAGGTTCAGGATATTGTTTTGGTAAGCGGGCGAGCGAGGGGGGGGGGGGGGGGCTGAGGGATCATGTTGCTATAACACCCCTCCCAACAACCCCCCCCCCCCCCCCACTCCCTCCTCTTCTTAAAATTGGGGAAATGCCAATATTCGGGCAACTACATTTTTATTCGGGCTGCGATATATAGGGGTGTCCGAGCATATTTCGATTACAATAAGGCAAACAAAAAACAATCAGGAAACGATGGGAATTACGGGACGACATCGACGGATCCTATAGCTTTCAGGCAATACATCGTCATTTCTTTTATGACTAAAGGTCCTAAACCTGATGCGAAAGCATGGATAAAAGACACATAAACACATTGTAAAAATTGAACACTTTTTTTTTCTTTAATTGGGATAATAATCATTTTATCCTGCAAAAGCCTCATGTGAAGAAATTCCATCAAATCATATAGGTCAAAGTAAACCAAAGAGAGTTATCGCTTTTTCATATCACCATGATAGGCGAAAACAAACAAAGAAAATACTTGTCCTTGATTGGATATATCAGGTAAAATCCTGGCTTCCTTCACCAATGTTCGTAGATTTTATCGATTTCCTCTCGCGCGAGGAGGTGGGCTCAAAAAGTCCCCGGGACCGACCCTGACAATGGAGATCAATGGCAAAGTTTAAATCTCCGATCGTTTATCGGATCAAAACAACCATTTAACCCTTCCTCACCCGAGACAACGAGGTAAATAGTTTCCAAATGAATTCCATTGTTGGGTCTTGGGTGAGATAATGGGTATATTGGGGGTAAGACATTGTGTCGTGCTGTTCCAGCTTTAGTTTTCGCACGTCAAAATAATGACATGGATCTGAGATCTAAATCAGAGCATCTCAGTGTGGAAAGGAATTGTAAAGGTCCTATAAACGTCTTTAAAATATAAATTTCATTCTTAAAATAAGCGCGTGCTCCGAGACCGAGTCCAGTATAGGCCTACCTCTCGAGTCTCGTCCTATTTATCTAAAATTGCTTTTGATGATTAACTTAATCCATACAGAATCGTTAAAGAGTGATCTATAGCTAGTATACTGATGCCATTATATTATTATGTTTCACTTCCAGTAGTTACTAAAACTTGGTCTTAGAATGCATGCTGTTCAGTCGGTAGCGGTTCTAGAGGGGGCCTGAGGCCCGAAGCACCCCACCCCCGATTTGTATTAGAAATAAATTTAATCGAGACGCCGTACCTGCATGGGTAAGAACCCCAAGCCCCCTTAAAATAACAAAATACTCTTCTAGAGTCGCGCCTGTCCACAGAGACAGATAGATTCAATATGAAATAGAGCTCGTGACTTCGTAGAATAATATTGCTTACTGTGCCTTAAATCCAGATTTGCAATGGCAATGAAATACTAATTAATTTGATTCTCTCAAATAAAACTTCGCACCTAAAGCTGTCAAAACCCGTCAGGTTCAATAATCGTAGTCCCACGTATAGGAGACCAACCCCTCTTCATCCCAGGCCCCGCAAATACAATCTCACTCAGCAGTAAGTCACACAGGTGTTCGACAAAAGAAAGTCACAAACGAGCCGATGATTGAAAAGAATTGACAGATCTGGAACACGCCACCCCATGAGAATTCATGTCGACAGACAGCATGTCCACATTCTTACTAATGTTGCTTGATTATTTGCTATATGAAATATGAATAACTGTTTGCTTTTACTTTCGATCAGGTTTGATATGCTCCACATAGACTAAATTTCATTTATTTTTACGTCTTCAATAATATTCTTGTGCTGGCGGCAAATCAACACGATTATGCATCGCAAGACATGCCAAGATAAACTGAGTTAAATGATATTTAGAACGAAACAACAACTCTGAAACTTTATTTGAAAGGAAGAATATTCATGTCTGAAATATAGTGCGAATCTCGAAGTGTGAGGATTTATACAGAAAATACATTCTGTGTAAAAACGCCCTTCTATAAAAATCTATATAATCCAGATATTTCAAAATATATAGTATAACTATTGTCAGGAACTACCAACAGTGCAGTAGAGTTGTGGCAATAGCAAAGACTGTAAGAGATATTAATTTTAAAATAAATAATAATATTGAGGAAAAAATATTATAACTCAAGATAGTACATGAACGTAAATATGGAATATATCAAGACCTGAGCACGGCAATTCTTACCATACCATGAAACCTGAACGTTACTATTCATGCCAA